AGCCTCCGCCTTTTGCTGGGCAAATCACCGCGCAACCAAACGGCGGGTGAGGTCACCGACCACAATGCCGCGGACTTGGCTTTTGGAGGGCAGCCACGTGAGGCCTGGCCGCATTGCGAGGCACCGACGCTTGCGCGACCATTTGCAACACACAGGACAAACTGATCAGAAGCCCCCTCATCGTCAAGGAGCACTCTGGCCTCTTGCGGGGATTCCGAAAACCTTGCAAGAGCTCCGTGATCCCGACCGCATCCGGCCCAGCCATATGAGGCGCTCTCCCAGGAGGTGTTTGGACTACCCCAGGAACTTCAGGCCTCACAGCCGAGGTCGTCAGCGCCTGCCGTGCCACGCTCTACAAGGCGCGCAAGGCTCGCAATCCACTAATGTTTGGGCAACTTGCGCGCGACGCATGGATCGTTCCTCGCGGGCTCCTGCATCAAGGGTTGCCAACAAAGCAAAAACCAGGGGGCCGCGGACAAAGGAGGGAACTGGAAAGGGCAAGCGCGGGTTTGCAGTGTTTGGAGCAAATCAACGAAATCAAGTTGCACCAGTGCCCGCTGGAGTTGCCGGTCGGCCGCCGGCTGGGGTCGGACCGCGGCTCGGCTCGTCCTCAGGGTAGCGCGAGGGGTGTTGTCTGCTGCTCTGCTGGCGGGCTGCCAGACGCGCCGCCCTGCGAGGCGGATGGCTTGGCCGTGCTCCGGCCCTACTGCCGCTGTGCTGCTCGTCTGGGACAGAGAGCGCTTTGGCCCTAGCAAGGAACTGGATGAACTGGGCAGGCTCGGGGCTCCACCGCCCAGCGACCTCGGCAAGCACAATAAGGCGACACGGGCTGGAAGAGAGCAACTCCCGGTAAGTGCGCTTTTTGTCGCGCCGAGCCTGGCGGAGGGAAGCACCTTCAACCGCTGGAGCCCAGGGCCAAAACGAGGGTGGTGTCAACGGCAAGCTGCACGCCGACCCAAAGCCAACCCGCTCGCAATGACCTTTTTTGTCATTTATGCGCCTGTCATCAAGCTGCTCGACATGGACATTCAAGTCAGGCAGAAGGGTGTGAGTTGCGCCGGCCTCCCGGCAAACTCGGGTCGCGCCAGACCGCGGGCAGGTGGCGAAGTGGTCACCAAGGGGATCCAAAGCACGCCCACACACACACACCAGGCAGAACCCAAAGGCAAAGGGACGCCTGTATGCACGCTCTGGCGGCCCGTCTGCTTCACGGCTCTCGGGCTCGCAGGCGAACGCGTGCACGTGCGCCGGCGGGGCCTGTTGCGTGTCAATGTCAGAAAGTGCCGACGCTCCCGCACCCAGAGAGGGAGGTGAGGCTGGTGGACACCCACGAAGAACCGCCCCAGGCCTCCGCAGGCGCGCGCGCATTTTCGCTGTACGTGACTCGCGCTCTGTGCGGAAACGCCCAGCCGGCAACCAAGGCGCCCTGTGGCAGTGTTCTGGTCCGGGGGACGGGGTGGCGGCGAGGTCCTCACAGCACCAAACAGTCGGTTGGTCATCATGTTCTGGGGCCCACCCATCGACGGCGCAAATGGGGCACGCTCCGCGATGACACAGAAGGCAGGCGACATCCTGAGGGTGGCGCGCTTGCACGCAACTGTGCAAGACAGCCTAGGTGAAGCACATGCCGTGGGCAGACAGGCGCCCAACTTGGTCCCTGCTGGGCGTGGCGGGACATCGTTGTCGCACGACTGGGAGCGACCTAGCCAGGACGGGTGAAACCGAGCCAGTTCTCAGCTCAGCAAGGACGCCTTTGTCGCGAGCCGAGAAGGACGGGACTGATGGGAGGATTTGAGCTGAGGCCGGAGAGTAGGGGTGCCCAGGCAAACTGCCCGGCCCAAGACGCCCAAAAGGCAGCAGGCGTGCTGCACAGCGCTGCGGAGGCCGAGCCCCCGTGGCAAAAAGCAAGCTGGGCGGCGCTGGCAACCTGTAGGAGGCTAGCGAGGCAGTTGAGAAGGGTGCGGCTGTGCTCAGCTGCAAATTCTCACGTCTGGTCAGGGGGCCAGGCCGGGGAACTGGTCAGCGAGGCTGGCAGCGATGATCTCGCCACCCCCGAGCGGAGTGCCAAGGGCAACCATGCCACGTTGGTTACTGGGGAACGCTGGGCTCCCAACCCAAACCTTTTCACAGTGGGCAGCGGATGCAGGCAGTGCTCCAGGCAAGAAGGGAGATGGACAACCCGACCCGGCTGCTGCGAGCGGACGTGCAGGTCATCGAGAAGGCCGACACGCGTTCGTCATCAAGAGCCCGCACGCGAACAGCGGCGCTGTGTATTCAGAAACTCGGGTGGGTTACGCTCGCCATGTCACTGGCAGCAGCGGGGAGGCGCCAGGTGCGGCGAGGGCGAAAAATCCAAAGTGTTGCTGAGCAGGTCAGGAAATCCAGGGTGGTGGGCAACGGTAGCTCAGCACTGGGCAGCTGCGCTCGCAGGGCGGCAGGCCAGGCGCTGGGCAGTTTGGCCTGCCATGGAGGGCGGTTGGCCCGCAGGTTCGCAAAGTTCAGGGCGGAGGCAACGTGTTGAACGAGCCGGGCGGCCATCCGGTCGCACAAGAAAAGTTGAGCCCACAACACGTGGCGCAAAGTCCGCTCCGACTCAACTCCCCGACACAATGGTTCCAAAATCCACTCAAACGATGGTCCTGCTGCCAGGCCTCTGAGGCGAACTCCTGCCAACAAAATGGGGACAAAGCTGTGGCGTCGAACCATCCACGTGCCGCCGGCCGCATGGCGAGGGCACGCCCAACGGCACAGCAGGGAGGCAAGGGCTGGTCGGCTGGGAGACCATGCCGCCGGGACAGCAGCATCCGCGTGAACAGTTTCCATTCCACTTCTGGTGCTCGCGTCACCCGGTGCACCCGGCACGAAAGCGAGGAGGCCGCACAGCCGGCCCGGCACTCCTTGCAGCGTGAGTGCGCGGACGCGAAGAACTGCGTAACCCATCTGACAAACGCCTGGAGATTCTCCGGCGTAGACGAAAGCTGCGATCGATGCTGTCAAGCGACCGGATTGTGCCGCATGATGCCAGCGATCATCCGCATGTCGTTGGCCGGGCAGAAGTAGCGAATAAGGCGATCCGTTGGACGTTTGTCTTCTTAGATGACATCCACCTCATCTTTGCCCGGAGCACTCACATGACGTGCCATGCACGAAGTGTTGCGAGTTGAAAGCCGCGGCGTGGAGCGCTACTGGGCGGGAGTTGCTCCGTGCTCTTGAGCGAGTCCATTCTGGCGATTCTGCCTGATTTTTGCCCGCGCAGCCCTGGCTTGTTTCTTACAGAAGCCCACCCGTCAGATTGCAGACCTGGCGTCGCTGACCGGCGTCTGCACATGGCCCCCAAGACCCCATTGTTCTCCGTCAGACGCTCTCACAGGGACTCCCTTGCGGTCGGCGGTCAGCATCACGGAGCTCCCGAAGCGTCTCCTCATTGCCTGCGTCTCCGCAGCCGGGTGAAGCCGTCAGGCTGGAATACCAACGGACAAACTCAGGATCCCAATCGGGCTGCCACGACACAATGCACAGGAGACGTTTGTCACATGGGTTACGCAGTTCTTCGCGTCCGCGCGCTGATGCTGCAAGGAGTCCCGATTCAACCGTGGAAAGGTTTTGGGCTTTGGGCATTTGGGGCAAGGCTTGCAGAGGGCTTTCGCCACTTTGCAGGCAGTGTGCCGACGTGCACCCAGTCCTTTGCTGAGGTGCCCCAGATGCGTTCATTGGGCAACGTCCCTACTGTTGGGGCATTCCCGCCCGCACTTTGAAGCGGGGCATGCTCTTGGACTGGGCTCAAGGGGCTTGGATGCGCGGCGCACGCGGCACATCAGCGAAAACGTTGCAAAATGTTGCATGCTCGCAGTTCGTGCACACACAAATGAAGGCACCGCGCTGAATTATTGGCTGTCAAGATCACACTGAATTTCGACCCATGCATAGACATTGAAGACGCGTCTGTGGGCTGTGGCAAACACGCTTGCAGGTTGTGCCAGCCAACCTCTGCCCAAGCTGATCGAACACACGGCTCGCTGAAGGGTGATGCCGCGCAGGCAATAACACTGACACTGCCAGCCGGCAGCAACAAAAGACTACATAACCGCATGGAGTTCGATGCCATTTTCTGGCCACTTTTGTGGATGCCTCTTGGAGCAGAGTTTTGACTTGTTCAGGAACCCGTGTTTTCTTGCACGCGCTGCTTTTTTTCCGCTGCTTCTGAGTCTTCCTCTCCACAGAGAATCGAACAAACAAGAACCTGGAAGGTCGCTCTGCGAGGCCACCCAGAACCGCGCCTTTTAAACCACGCAGCGGCTGAAACAAGCGACTTGGAGAAGGCGACGTGGGAACGGCCACAGCCACCAAGCTTGGGCTTGGCCGGAAAGGGAATCAACACGTAAAGATCTCCGCGTTGATGCCGAAAAGGTGCTCGCAGTTGCAGCGTGTCACTGTCTTTAAGTCTGCGTCGTACACGGGCATGTGAACACAGCATGCAAATGTGCGTGCTGCTTGCGTGGGAACATTTTTTTGACCGGTGCCTTTCCTGCTGCAGCATCGAAACGGCTGGTCACAGTCCTCATAATATTCTGTTAATTTCGGCACAGCTCCGCGACCACCCCGCGCCCCCAGAAACGTGCTGCGAATCTTGCAACAACCCTTGCAGTTTGCAGCATGCGACGTGAACAGCGGTACAGCGAAGGGACAGGCATGGAGATAAATTGATGCGAATCAGGAGCCCTTTGCGCAAGCAGCGGCACAAAAGCAAGATTGGATGGCGGGGCGGACTAGAGAACTGCTTGCAACAAACCCGGAAACTGGTCGGGTATGCATTGCGCTGGCCAGTTGCGGAAATTGCAGATCGCTTTTTTGAGCAGGTTGCAAGCTCTGCGACGGCAAGGCTCGCTGTCAAAAACTGTGCGAGCCACACAACAGAGAATGCGCCAACATACCCATAGCACATGCAGCATGCCACTGATCCTTATCTTTCCCCACCGGCGGCGTCCCCCTTTTTGCTGTGCCTCATACTCCACCGGCGGCGCAGTGGTGATGAGATGCGGGGCTCGCGCTGCCCGAGGGTCCAGTTCCACTTTCGCCTGCAGATTCTGGGAGCTGAATGCGGTGGGACCGGTCTCTATCTCGCATTGATAACCGCCTGCTATGATAGGGCTCCCCTGTGCCTCCCTTTTGAAGCCATCTCCACAAGGGTTACACTTTTCAAACACCACATGGGTCTGTGTCAAAATAGGTGCACCCCAACAAATGGGTGGTATACTTTTGGCTTGCCTTCCAAACCGTTCCAAAAGGGCACCCTCAAAAAAATATCCCTAGATCCCTTTGATGTCTGCTCTCGAGTTGGACCCCCAACTGCACTTCGCTGCCTCCACAGCTGCCATCTGCCCGATGCCCCCAGCCCCTTGAGCAGGCCAAGCGTCATGACGGCTTCTTTCTGGAATTCACACAGGCAGCACATGGTCAACCCTGACCATCTTTCACAGGGCATTCCAACACGATCTGCCACATTCGAGGGCAAGTGAATGGGCCTTCGTCTTCAGAGTCACAGCCAGGTCTCATGTCTAGCAGGATTGAAGTTAAAGTGGCTCAATGCATGACTCCGCGGACCAAGCAAAATCGATTGTTTCCCCGTTCAGTCTTGCCAACAGGCATGGACGGAAATCTGTCATATGTGCGGCGTGAGTGCGATGTCCACGTGCGGCATGCGCAGCTCAAGTGTGCAGTCCTGTGGTATTCTTGTTGCGGCCATAAAGGCATACCGGCCACACTGTAAGCGGAAACTGTTGTTGGTTTTGGAGGTGAACCAAATCGAGCACGAAATAAGAGTCCAGGCCAAGCCGTTGCAAATGAACCATGGCAAGGAGCCTTTCCCCTTAAACATCCGAGGCATGCATCCAGTAGGCTGTTTGGAACTTAGCCACGCTTCTTTTGGAGGGTTAAAAATACGGTGAGCCTGCATCACGTCCAATTCATTGCGACCATTTTTGTCTCGCTGTCACTTGGCTGTATCATCTGCAGCGGGACCAAGTGATCAGGAGGGAAGGGGGGGGGGGTCTGCTGCAACCTGTTGGAAACTGGAAACAGTTCTCTGGGAGTTGGATTGAGGGCCAGTTCCTCGCAGTTTGCATCAGCCATCTAGGGGCGGGGGGCAGGAACGAATCGACCACGAAAAAGAGGGTCAATGCATGCTGCTGAAAATCCGACTGGCCCATCAGGCATTGGATTTCTGAACAACTGGACTCGTGCTCACGCAAGAAGCAGATGTTGCATGTGTTTCATGGACTCTGGAAATCCATGCAGGGCATGCTTGACTCCTCGGCTCAAGGACTAATGGACTAGTCCTCGGAGCAATACAATGGGTTGCTCAGACTGAGGTGGGCCCGATCGAAGCCTTGTGGCCGCGTGTTGGACTCCGCAGGAAAAGGGCAACTCTTACAAATGCGTCACGGCTGGTGCGCGCGCTGGTGGATGCCTGACTGTTTGACTGTTGCAGGGCGGCCAGGCCAATTAAGATAGAGTATTCACTGGACGCAGTGGATGATTCAAAAAATGCAACCTGCCGGCAAGCCATGGCTGAGCTGGCGAAGACTGGAAAACCTGATTTCGTCTTCACTCAGCACTTGCAGCCAGCTTTCCTTCGAGTGCCGAACACTCAAGGCTTGGGCCTGTGCACAGCTGGTGGCGCTGCACCCCACAAGTTGGCAATGCGGGGCTCTGCATGCATGCAAACGATGCAGGGCACGCACGAGAACACAAAACCTGAAGGAAATCCGTCTCCTCCTTACGGCACGAGTCAGCTCGCAGGTTTCAAACATCTCTCGATCTCTGGAGGCTCCGGATGTTCCTTTACCATCTCGAGAATTGCTACCATCAGTCTTGCCTGAAGACCTCCAGAACTGTGCACAGGCTGCGCCAATGGTAAGGTTACATTTTACGAAGGTGTTGCCCTACTGCTTCGAGCTGTTTGGAGAGCCCAAAATCAGAATCCGCAACACGTCAAGGTGCCAAGCCTTTCTTGCACACTTTGCCAAAATGCAACCTTGCAGGCCCATGTAAATCAATTGATAGAAAAATCTTTGGAATGCTGTTGCAGCAATCCTTCGACCTATATTTGCGAAAGCCATTTGCTGTCTCACAGTTCATCTGTGAATCACTTCCTCAATTTGCGGGACGAAGTTTGACTGCCTTCAACCATCTTGCAAGGCTTTCTGGTGAATGGCCCAGTCCAGAAGGGCATGCATGGCAGCCAGGATGCTGGACAGTTAAATGAACCCACCCCTGCCACAAGCATAGGGGGCTGACAAAATCATCATAAGGTGGCATTGAACTGTGAATTTAGAGGGACCCCTCGGAAACCCCTTCTGAAACCCCCCAACGTTGCTTTAAACACATCCCATGCAGCTCGAGCGGCAGCGGGGCATATGCGCAGGCCGCCGGCGTGGGGCTCGGAGCTTCTTCTTGGGCGGCGGGAAGTCCACGCGGAGGCCCGTGCCTTGGCATGGAGCTGTGGTGGGCAAAAACACAGGTAACCCCATTAAATGAGGCAAGCCCGGGAAAATGGAAACTTGGACGAATTCACCATATCCTGGTGACTATTTTGACCCATCACATCAGACTTTGTCGTGTGGCTTCAACAAATCCCAGCAATGGACATGGGCATACAGCATCGAAAGCTCAAAACCCCGGCCAAAGTGGGCAAATTCTCCATGCAGCACGTCCTTTCAAAGATCCCAAGCTATTCTGAGATGGGCCATGATGAAAACCAAGCTGGACCGAGACTTCTCAATTCTTCAAATTCCCGCAATGCCATGTCTGTGTGCGACCTGCTGCGACCTGGCCTGCTTGGAAAATCACTGGCTTGAACTCATCTGGGACGCTGCTGTGCATGATCGGGCTGTCCCTGGAGCGGTCACTGGGCACAGGATGGCGGCACATGTGCTTCGTCGCACGTGCCATGCCACGCAGCGCCTTGAATTTGTGGGGCCTCACTATTAAACCGGAATCAGGACGACATGTCAACCACAGAACTCTGCCGGCAAAACCAAGGCGGCACTGCCAAAGTGCTTGATCCTGCCCAGTCATTCCTAGCGGCAAACCAGTCCAATAGTTAGTTTATGAAGCTATTTGCCTAAATCTTCTTTGTGCCGTCCTTTCTCGAGCAAGCGAGTAACCTCAGCACTGATTTGTCCGTTGTGTCCCCAGAAGAAAAAAAAGGAGAAAAAAAAACGACCGGAAGCTTGCGCGCTTCAAACAGGCGCAGGGCGCCCTGAAAGAAACCCAGGCCTGTAACGCTCCACATGGGCTTCTTGTCCCTGGTGAGGTCCGCTCCAGCTTACAGAGCAGACCTGTGTCGCTCCACCCAGGATCCCCCCAAAAAAGGAGTCCCCGATGCTTGGTTGTTAAAAAGGTCCAAAGGGGAAATCCGGCCAGCCGCACAGAACTACTCTTTGGTTGCGACATGTCATCTCAACACAAAAACTATGTCAACGCCAAAGCCAGCTGGATCGTTCGCACAGAACATACAGTTAGCTGAACAGACAACCTCTTGGCTTGTGACTTGGTTTCAATCCCACTTGTTGCATCCTGCTTCTGTTGAGAGATAAGAGGGAGTTTCAGTCTCTGTGGCTATGTGGCTTCCTTGTAGGTGCTGGAAGGGGAGTATTCCTCAGCAAAGTGGGGATGTGAAGGCTGGCGCATACAGCTGACATCTGACTATCCAGATTTGGGTCCCTTTCACGCAGGCCCAAAGTGGCGTAGGTTTCGAGATCTTTGTGGCTGAAAGAACACGACTCCACCTCACAGCTCCCAGTACCAAAAATCCTCCGGCCTTCGCACTTGGCAGCACCCACTTGGTGAAGCCATCGAAGCACTGCCAGAACTTCTGCACCTAGCCCGAGATTTCTGCGGCCGAACTCGGCTCACTTGGTGCCGTGGTGGCCAGGTGCCTCGTTCTCATCCACCAGGTTGACAAAGGCGTAGCCAAGGCTTGCTTTGGAACGAAAATCCTTGGTGGGACATTTGCCTCTGCCACACCCAACATACCCAACAAGCGAAGGTCTGAGCCAAGACTCGATGGGAAGATATAGGAAGTCGTACTTTCCGGCGAAGCCTTCCTTGTCCATGAGAACGCAAACCTGAGATGCTGCCGTGGGACATACCTTCGGTGACCTCACTGCCTTCTTTGCTGGGCAGCCATGGCCCGGGAGTAGTTGTTGGGCAGGTTTCGCAGCATCACAGTGGTCTGCCCTTGCTTCCCGCACGGCTGCAAGGCCGGCAAAAGCTCCACGGGGCGTGGGGCCTCAGAAAACTGCGGCACTTCAAGGAGGGAGTGGAAGGGAAATTGTCCAGGCCACGGTCTCCCAGATCCATGAAACGGGCATAGACACGGCGGTCGCACAGAAACGGGCACCCCAAACCCTAAGTGTCGGTAGCTGGAAATGAACCAAAGGCAGTCTCAGGAAGGCCCAGAGGGTCCAAGCACCCAAAAGCTGCCGAGGCGCTGAAGTCATCTGCGAGAGAAGTTGATCCAGTGCTTGCCTATCCCTCTGCTCTCTCAGCAGGATTGCATGAACTCTCCCGAAAGACCCACAAGCCTTTGGCTTTTAAACAAGTGACCACCCTGGCAACTCTCACAACACCCCAAACCCTAAGAAGGACCCGGACGCATACCATAAATTCCAAAGATGTGTCACCATTTGGGCATTCATCCTTACAACGATTCTTTGCCTTGAAAGGGGGGGAAGGATATCACCCGCGAAAGGGGGGAAAAGATCTTAGGGAGGAAAAGGGAGAAGATCTCAGGGTGGGAAAAGGCCTTAGGGGGGACAGGGGGGAAAGGATCTCAACAGGGAAAGGTGGGAAAAGATCTTAGGGAGGAAAAGGGAGAAGATCTGGGGGGGAAAAGGCCTTAGGGGGGAACGGGGGGAAAGGATCTCAACAGGAAAGGGGGAAAAAGATCTTAGGGAGGAAAAAGGAGAAGATCTTGGGGGGGGGGGGGGAGGCCTTAGCGGGGAAAGGGGGAAAGGATCTCAACAGGGAAAGGGGGGCAAAGATCTTAGAGGAGAAGGGGGGGAAGGGGACAATTCCAAAGGGACACAAATAAGAAAGCAGGCCTGTAATGTCGGCGGCCTGAGCCGGAGGCGTTAAAATTTATGGTCTTTGTGTGTGTGTGTGTGTGTTTGTGTTTGTGTTGTCGTTGCTTTTTGTATGGTGTGGTTTGGCTTCTGATTTGTGTTGTTGTGTGTTGTGTGTTGTGTGTTTGTAGTTTGCACGTTTGTTTGTTTGCTTGCTTGCTTGCTTGCTTGCTTGCTTGCTTGCTTGCTTGCTTGTTTGTTTGTTTGTTTGTTTGTTTGCTTGCTTGCTTGCTTGCTTGCTTGTTTGTTTGTTTGTTTGTTTGTTTGTTTGTTTGTTTTTGCTTGTTTGCTTGATTGTTTGTTTGTTGGCTTGTTTGCTTGTTTTCGTTGTTGTGCTTGTCTGTTTGTGTGTGTGTTTGCTTGTTTGGTTGTTTGCTTGCTTGCTTGTTTGTTTGTTTGCTTATTTGTTTGGTTGCTTGCTTGTTTGGTTGCTTGTTTGGTTGCTTGCTTGTTTGGTTGCTTGCTTGTTTGTTTGGTTGGTTGGTTGGTTGCTTGGTTTGATTGCTTGTTTTTGTTGTTGTCTTTGTTCGTTTGTTTGTTTGTTTGCTTGTTTGTTTGCTTCCTTGTTTGATTGCTTGCTTGCTTGCTTGCTAGTTTGTTTTTTGTTTGCTTGGTTGGTTGGTTGGTTGTTTGTTGATTTGATTCTGATCTTTTGTTGTGTTTGTTCGTTTGTTCACTTGCTTGCTTTTTTCTTTGTTTCTTTGTTGGTTGGTTGGTTGGTTGGTTGGTTGTTTGGTTGGTTGGTTGGTTGGTTGGTTGGTTGGTTGGTTGGTTGGTTGGTTAGTTGAGTTGCTTGATTGATTTGTTTGGTTTTGGTTGTCTGTTTGTCTGCTTGTCCACTTGTCCACTTGTCTGTCTGTCTGTCTGTCTGTCTGTCTGTCTGTCTGTCTGTCTGTCTGTCTGTCTGTCTGTCTGTCTGTCTGTCTGTCTGTCTGTCTGTCTGTCTGTCTGTCTGTCTGCTTGTCTGCTTGTCTGCTTGTCCACTTGTCCACTTGTCTGTCTGTCTGTCTGTCTCTCTGTCTGACTGTCCGTCCGTACGTCCGTCCGTCAGTCTGTCTCTGTTTGTTTGTGAGGGTATTCATTTTTGAACCTTGTCGCGAGAACCAAAAGGACACCACTCACCCTTCCCAATTTCGGCTGCGCGCCTGTCGGAAGCGATGCCCGCGGCCTCCAGCGCCTCGCTAGCAGCAGACACGGCCCTCGCCTGCGCAGCGTCCAACGCCTCGCTTGAGAAGTCCAGCCTGTCGGGTCGCGAGGGATCCGCTCAGCTCGAAACGGCCGGTAGCTTCCCAGCGCGGAAGTCACCAAAATGTGGGTGGGTTCATTTGTCTGCCAGGTAGCAGGGAGTCCCGGTAGGGGGGAAATGCTAATACAAGTGCAAAGGTGATGGGCGAAATGCAAGGACAAAGGGCAAAAACTTGGAGGGTGGGCTGCAGAGCTTCCGGATGAAGGTGGGGGAGGAGATTGCACAAATTCCCCAAGCTACCGTTTGCTTCTGGGCGGTGCATGTTCAATCCATGGCAAGGCTACAGCTCGGAAACACATTGAAGAAGAAAAAGATCCACAGGAACAAAGCAAACTGTGAGTGTTCTGATTCAACAGCATAAACAAACTATCAAGGATGGGTGCATTGATCTATGTATATTATATGTATATACACACATCACCTTGGCTGCTCAGTCCGTCCGCGCCTCGGAAGCATACCTGCAGTTCGACGGGCAGGCAGGGTTTCGCCATGTCAAATGTCCTTTCTTCTCCAAGTCCCCTATGGCAGTTTCAAGAGTGCAAATGCACGAGGAATGCGGCCTTGAACAAACGAGCCAACCAGTTACCCTGGCTCTTGCCCAAACACGGGCGAACGGATCTTGAACTGACGCAAGACACATGCAAAGGCTTTGAATGTTACTGTCACGAGCCTCCCGGAATGTTAACCCTAGTTTCGTGCAGCCAAGCCACCCTCCCGAGGCGTGTCGGTGTCACTAGCAGTTGTAGAAATGGAGTGCTGGCTTGCACGCTCCTTCATCAGGCGATCAATCAAACACAGATCAAGGAAGCCCTCAGTTCTCTGCCTGCCCAACAGCCACACAGCTGCTAGCAAAGCGTGAGGTAAAACGCACTTGATCCTTCTCATCCAGAGTCGTCATGTGGGGCTGGTCGCGCGGGTTGTCAAACTCAGCTGCACGGTGAGATCAGCAATCTGGAGATTTGCGCATGACCGCAGGATAGCAAGATTCGAATCGAGTGTGCCTGTGCGAGAGCAAGACCTCCACAAGTTTGATGGGTCCGCATCGGCATTGCCAATTTGTAGCTGTGAATATGTTGGCAGCTACTAACCGCAATTTAAGAAAAAGCACTCAGACCCAAGCCAGGTTCATCAAACCAGGTTTGCTCCAAGTGGCATCATCAGAAGCCAGCGAGCTGGCATCAGCATCTTGGCTCTCCTAAGCCAAGCGAGTCACCTCTGAGTCAAAGATGGAGCACTGCAAGCAGAGAGCTGGCGTCTCCTCTGGCATCTCCTCTGGCGTCTCCTCTGGGCTGACTTCCCGCTGGAACCGGGCCCAAATCACCGAATCCTTGGGCAAACGGGAAGACTGGCCAGCCTTCTCAAAACGGACACGGAGGGTTGCCCCCACAAATACCGGCAAGTCAGCTGTGCATGTGGCGGTTCTTGTTTGCATTCACCTAGACTTCGTGCCTTCGCAGGCAGCGAAAGGAACGGGAACCGTCTCGGCTTGCCGCCAAGCCTCGGAATTATAGGAAGCGGGCAGACTGGTAGGAGTGGCGTCACCCTCAAGTTCAATGAAGGTCTTCTTGATGACCACCTTGTCGCAACCTCGGGCTCGGCATCCTATTGCCAGCTTGTTGGACCGTTTGACCCCGCCTTCCGTGCAGGACATCGGCAAAGTCGTGGGCTCCATTGGAATGGGAGAGGGAAGTCACGATATTCAAAGATCAAAAACGATCCAATTCGTCTGAGCATCCAGATTTGGTGATGGAAAGGCATCCGGTTGCCACGTTGAGTTTCCCGACTTGCGCTTGAGCCCTGCATTGGAGCTGCCACTCTCTTCCCAATACCCTTGTACTTGGTTGCTCACTTTTCCTGAACGTCACGGAGTTGAATATGCAGCCATTACCGCACAAAAGCTCAGCTAGTCAACAAACTGGACTGCAAATCTGGTGGCTTAGCAACAGCAGGTCAACCAGCGGGGAGTAAGGGGGTAGGGCAGCACCATTTTCTGATGGTTTCCAATGGCAGTGCTTTGCTGTTAAATCAAACTCAAATCTGCAAGACCTCAATCTCCGTCGCTTTCGAGTCCAGCTGATTCAAATGGGTGTGCGCTTTTTTCATGAGGGCCCTTTCTGGTGTGAATGTTCATCGCCTAGACAGCGTGGAGTAGCCTGCGCCGCGGCTCATCTGCGGCCTGCGAGATAGGCCGGCCGAGAAACGGCCTTGGGCTTTACAGATCAAACTCCTTGTTTCCCAGAGGCTGAATGCGAATTTGGCGAACCATCTTCGAGGTCTTCTTCGCGAGAAAGACTGCCCGATTCCTTCACTAGAGAAGTCCAGCCTTGTGACGATGTTGCTGGCAACAGCCTGCCATACGGTGGGGCGCTTTTGCGAGGGCGGCAAACAAACACGCACAAACACAAAAAATAGAAGCTACGAAGCGTCGGTTTCATCCTGCAGATTTGCATGCCTCTCAAGCGCATAAAAAAGTACTGTTGCCGCTAGCTAGGACAGGCTCCTGCCTCCCGCTCGGAAAGCCGGCGGATGAATTGAAGCGCTGCTTGCACCGCGGGAAGAGAAGGGCCCTGCACATGCGCAGGGAGTAAGGGAAACTCTATGAACTATGGTGGTTACGTGGTTCCTTTAAGGGAAATCCTAGGTTCATTCCCAAAACCCGTGAAACTCCCTACTGTGAGGCGCTCCAGCACGCCTTAAAGCGTCCATGGACTCACAAGCCAGCAGACAGCAAGCCCCGCAACCTACAACAATTCCATTGATAAAGCCACTCTCAAGGCAATACTTGCCGCTGGTCAAAAAGTCGATCGCCAGGGCATGGGCATATGGTTTGCTACAGCCATGGCAGTCAACTAGGGCAGTTCTAGCTTGCGTTGTGCAGTCGCATGGATCATGTATGATCTTCGCCCAGCACCTCTGTGATATGCCTCTTCGCTGACATGCTGCGGGCCGTGTCCCAGAAACCTGCAAAGCCTTGACATCTGTGCCATCCAAAACCCCAAAGTGCGGCCGCAACATATGTGGGTTTACATAGGATGACCATCAGGGAAGACCACTTAAAAGCTAAATGTGAAAAGTTGCCCATCAGGGATATTGATCAACCCCCATATTGAATCCATGTTACATACCAAATACATCACTGTAGGGCCTCCGTGGCAGTCCCCCCCCCTTTGCAGGACAGCCACGCCTGCGGCACTAGCACGTCAACCAGGTACTTGCCAGCAGAGCACTTGTACACCTGCACCGTGAGCCTGCAGACAGTATCAGAGGTAGCAACTTGAAATAACGTTTGTAACAGGCACCAAATGGCGTCCGCATATGGAAAGGGGGGTTCTGCTCCAATGAGTACTTTTACAAACAACCTATCCGAATGTGAGGGGAACAATCTCAATAGATAATAAATTATGTTTCATCGAGGCATGGAGGGGGCACATGGAGCAGGGTATGAGCAAGCCCAATCCACGAGACCGGTCATGTGTCTGCGTTGCGTGGCGATGTATGTGTTCGAAACAAAGCAACGGATGCCTCTAAAAGGTTATCTCCTTTCAAGCAGCTTGAAAATAAGGCCCGAGAATGGACATGAATCCATTATTTCCATGCCTCTCTGAAAAGCAAAGAATTGGATCTCACCAAGACAACTTTTCTCGACATGGGCCAATTTGAGCAAGGGTAGCATTGGTAGCATCTTTCCTTTACCTGGCCACCCAGGCTGTTCGGGGTTCCAGAGGCGAGTAGAGCGTACAAGGCGTACAAAAGCCACAAACAGGGGAGCTCCAGTCTCGAAATGCCCTTACAGCAGGTTCCTCGGGTCTGACTTGGAAACTGAGACTCCTCGCTGTTGCCTTCTCATTCTTCATACATCTTTCGTTGAGGGTTCTCTGAGGGCCGTGACTCTGAGCCTCCCGGCATGATGCCCATCTGGGGTACCAACGGCCGCGCCCGCACGCGCCAGGGAGTGACGTTGTGCCACTGGCGCGGGCAAGTGCGGTCCAAAGCGGCCCGAAACAGGCACGAAATTTTGTCGTCGCAATCCAGGGACTACTCGAACCAGGTGCCTTGGGGCCATCAAAAATATGAGCCGCAAATGATGCAATGATTGGAGAACAGGACCAAATGTCAGCAGAAAGCAGCAGTTTAAAGCTCATGCCTTCTCAGTTCTTAGCTGCCACTCCGGCTGTGCAAATCGTTGAAATCTGGAACTGCGATCCATGTCAGCACCCTCAAGTTGGTAAGAGCTGGAAGCTGCTTCCATGGTGTAGAACATCAAGCATATTGACGAGAAGCCGCTCTGATTGCCGAAAGAACACGACACCTCAGGACCTCAGGCTGCAAACCCCCGCCGCCCCGCCGCCCGCCTCGTAGCCCAAGTCCCGCAGGTTCAGCAGGACTTCGGTCATGAGCACTGCCGCCTCACAGTGCTCTGCGCAAAACGCGCCTGGCTCGCCTACTCTTCCGTGGAACAGACATCGGCCGCCACCAAAAGTCACCAAAAGTCGCCCAAGCACCTTGCCACCCCCCAGCCTCCATGACGGCTTCCAAACCCAGGCGCCAAGGACACTCCAGAGCTGACACGGCCTGATCGCTGAGCACCCTGGCTGACTGCCAGCCGTTTACTCAAGAACAGGCTCAAAGAAAATGATGCTTTACCAAGTGAAAATAACAAGTTTGTCAAGGGCTCAGTTGCCTCGCTCAAAGTCGCCTGTGAGGCAAGGGAAATGAAAAGCTATGCTCGGATCTCACTACAATGGCAACTAAGACTCTTCAGGGTTCCTTCCCCACGAGCTTCCGAGGTCGTTTCAGGCTTCAACGGCATCGCCTGCATCCCCAGCATGGCACGGTCAGAAGCCACTGCAATCTTGTAGATTGGGGCCGAGCTCTCCTGACGTGAGGGTTGCATGTGGCTGCCTGCGACACAAGTGAACTCTTCTTGGGGTGGCACACGTGTCAGCTGGATCAACTGCTCAGGATAAATCCAAAGACCCCTCATCCAAAGTGAACAGCTCCAGCCTCTCTACTGGGAATTGGGCTGCATGCCTGTCTTGAGATCCAATTGAGGTTGTGTTTAGCCCACTTGTCCGAGCCATTGGGCTGCTGAAGCACTTGAGATCCAATTGAGGTTGTGTTTAGCCCACTAGTGTCCGAGCCATTGGGCTGCTGAAGCACTGACACCTGGGTTGGCTTTTTTAGCTTGTGTAGCTTATGGATCTGCGCCATCCAGTTCTGACGCTAAGCTTCTTGTCATTTAGTCGTTGGAGGTGTTGGCAAAAGGGTTGGTTTAGGGGTGCAGCATTTGAAGTGCCTTTGGATTTGTCTCCCACACCTGAACCCATTCTGACATCCTGACCTACGCCTGACCCACGCCCTTAACTCAAACCCAACCTTTGCCCTAAGCCCTCACTGCAACGGGCAAAGGCCAATGGTGGACCCGGGTTGCGCGCTCACCTTACTAGAACTCCATCCTCAGTGGCTGTTCACTTTAGTCTGCGTACCCTAAACCACCCAAAACCCTAAAGCCATACACACCCAAATCCAACCCCAAACCCGCTAATTGTCCCAAATCAACCAAAAACCAAACAACGAGCAAGAAAACCCCATCAAGCAATCCAAACTGTGACAACACCCAAAACCAACCGCTAACAAGAATGGAACAGGAATGCGTTTGAAGAGGGACGGAGATGAGCAGAATGACCGACGATTGAGCAATGAAGGCTGCCCAAGAATTGCAGTTCGAATGGCTACTCCACGCACCCAAGCAGCAACCCCAGACCTGGTCAAACTTCCTGCTGACGCTCTCAACATCCTGTCAAAGGATGTGTCTGATCAGCTGCTGAATTTATCGAATGACAGTGGCTTCAAGAATCCCAGCAGCTTTCTGCCTCATCATCGAACAGCTTCAGGGCATTGTTCGCGGCAGGGTTCGCAGCAGGATCCTGCATAGCCCAAAATGTGCAATTCTCTCTTGGATAATGTCAAAGTAAGCCAGAGGGATACCGACCGACCGACTACCCAGCCAACCAAGCAAGCAGCCAACCAACCCTTTTCAGTGTAGAGGGCTCCCAAGCTTGACCGTCGCACAAGGCCCGACACATGGAGAGAGAGAGGGAGAGAGAGAGAGAGAGAAAAATAAAATAAAATGAGCTATTGCACTTTCCCCCACGGGTGTTAGATTCGAGTAGTTCGAAGTCACGTTGAGCCTAACCAGCTGGGCATAGCTGACACCTTTGCGGGCGAGCCCGACTCGGGAAATGGTTTTTCATCGATCGGAAACGCCGTGTTGGCCGGACCGGCGCATGGCCGGTCCTTGCGCAAAAGGTTGGAGAAGCTGCTCTGCTTCGAGGCGCGGTCCGCCAGCAAGTGGTAAGCCACCTGAGCCCATGGCCGCTCTCTCGAGCGGAGTCCAGTTGAGAAGGTGCCTTTTTGGGGAAATTCAAGTGTCCCTGTGTAGAAGTTTGAAGTTTGGGCGCCACATGTCCCTCCCAACATGTTCACAGTCCACAGACTTGCAAGCCTCATGTGCACAGAGCCCTCCAGTTCCCATCCATCTGGTTCGGACCCCAAAATGCTGGCAGGGCTCTTTGAGGCTGCCAAAGTCACGTTGGAGGCTTGTCTTCCAGAAGAAGGCTAAGCAAGGTTCAAACATACGGACAATGCATGATATGATTTATGTCAGATGATTCTAGATGAAAATCGGACAAATTGAACAATGTGGACATGATGCTAGCAGCGTGCCAAGGGGCGACAACATAATATAGATTCCTTCTGGAAATGATGCCACTCAGGGTTTCCCGGCGTTATGCCGTGACTTTCCACACTGTTCCGCGGCTGCAAGCTAGTTTAATGTTGACATATCGCCTTCATCTGCATCCGAATCCGTCAGATGGTCAGACACGCCCGCGCTGCCTTCTCCTCCGGCTTCAAGTTGTCCTTGTCCGTAATCTTGAGACCCATGTCCTCCAGCTCCTGGCCGAGAGAGACGGTCAGTTTTCTGACTGCCGGTTTTTGCAGGGCCGGGCAGCAAGATTCTTCATGCGCCAGAGGCTGGTGCAGAACGACCGACAAACTAGGACCGCAACGAACAGAAACTAGGACCAAAACGATGCCGCGCCCTTCCCCACCCTCTGCCTCAATGATGTCCGCCTGGTACTCCTGGCAAACATTCAGCAGTGCGAGCTTCGGGCGCTTGGCTGCAAGGCATCCTTCACTCTCAGGCTCCGGCCAGCTTTTCAGCCGCCAGATTTAACGGCGCAGCCAGGTACTCGGGCAGGTCCTGGGACCGGAAGGCAGAGAGAGATCGCACGTACGGAGGGCGGCATCAGGCCAGTCATGTGACTCAGCCGTAGCACCGATGGGCAGCTCAACAGGGCCCTCGGCCCTCGACCTTGTCAGCCCGTCCTTCTGGAACCAGCTGTGCTTGCGAATTTGGGCAAAAGTGATGCGCCTTGCCGAGCTGTTTCCCTTTCCCCGATTGACCGAGGTCAAGCAGCTCGACTGCCTCATTTCCTTGAAATGACTCTTGGTGGTGGCACAAGCATGGCGTGCACGTGGTCATTTATACCGCATGCACCCCTCCAACTCAACACATCTGACGCAGAGAACATCCTGTCTCACGTCTACATCCCCTGCCTGGTTGGATCCACCACCAGCATTTGCACAATGAGGTCCTTGGCCTCACTGGAGAGATGACCTCAGGACATCTTTTGTCTCTCTGTCTGCTCACTTACTTGTGACCATTGACGTGCCTGCTTGTCCTTATTCTAATTTCCGGGTTCATAATCATCCCTATTCGTCCAAGCAACCACGAACGTGGCATAACTTGAAGCATTGTGCGAAACACACCAGCTCTGCCTGGCAGGGTGAAGTTGCCGTGCTTGATCTTGCGGAAAAGATTTGGCACCTCTGCTGGGCCCAGCAACTCAAACATACCGTCTGCAGGGAGGAAAGCAGAAAGAAGCACGCAGTGTCTGTTCAGAAAGAGGAACCAATAATAGCCATAGCCTATCAGTTACAAACAGGTGTTCTACGTTGGTCCAGCTATACCGGTCCAGTGCAATGCCATCTTCTGTAGCAGTGTCCTACTGTACCAACCCGTCACGGCAAAGCGAGAACGTGTGCCGCATACGCAACCGGCCCATGGGCCCATGCAGAACAGCAGCTGGCACTCGACTATATAATACCCAACGTCTCCTCTTGGCTATAAGCCTCTCCACTTGCTGTGCCAGGCACGTTCTCATCATCAAAGGGCAACGTGCCGCAGAGCAGCGCGTACAGCACCACCCCACCGGACCTGGCCAGCAACCGCACGGGCCTTGCCCAATGAGCACTCGAGCACAGGCTGATGGCCACTGCCGAGCAAAATGCAAACTATTGCAAACCTCATCCAAACCATCCCCGCGAAATCTCCAGCAAAACTTCAAACTGTGCTGTCGGTGGGAAGCAAAGCAAATCTGCTGCTGGCTGCTGGCAATCAATTCGTTCTTGCAACTTGATCGCTCAAGATCATCGGGTTGGTCGAAACTCCTTTCTTGGGTCTGCCGCACTTGTTCGCGAAACGCTTACGTTCTTTCACGCTCACAGGAAAGGCACCCATTGCCAGCTGGGTGTTGTTGGTCGGCTTTGCTTGGCTGAAACTCAGGGACGGGTGTGAGTGAGCTCTACCAATCAATTAATCAATCAATCAATCAATCAATCAATCAATCAATCAATCAATCAATCAATCAATCAATCAATCAATCAATCAATCAATCAATCAATCAATCAATCTATATATATATATATATCTATCTATCTATCTATCTATCTATCTATCTATCTATCTATCGATCCATAGTTCTATCAATCTATCAATCGATCGATCTATCTATCTATCCATCCATCCATCCATCTATCTATCAATCTATCAATCTATCAATCTGCCAACCTGTCAATCTATGAATCTATCATCTATCTATCTATCTATCTATCTATCAATCAATCAATCAATCAATCAATCAGTCAGTCAATCAGTCAATCAATCAGTCAGTCAATCAATCAATTAATTAAGTAATCAAGCAATTAAGTATTCAAATCAATCAAATCAAATCAAATATAATCAATCAAACAATTGATCGATCGATCAATCAATCAATCAAGCAAGCAAGCAAGCAATCAAGCAATCAATCAATCAATCAATCAATCAATCAATAAATCAATCAATCAATCAATCAATCAATCAATCAATCAATCAATCAATCAATCAATCAATCAATCAATCAATCAATCAATCGATCAACCAGGCAAAATATATGTCTATCAATCAATGTCTCTTTCTAGCTATCTACACTCATCTACCTATCTATCTACATTTCTATCTATCTACCTACCTACCTATCTATCTATCTTTCTATCTATCTATCCATCTATCTTTCTATCTATCTAGCTTTCTATCTATCTATGTCTATCTATCTATGTCTATCTATCTATCTATCTATCGATCTATCTATCTATCTATCTATCTATCCATCTATCTATCTATCCATCTATATATCTATGTCTGTCTATCTATCTATCTATCTATCTATCTGTCTATATACGTGTCTGTCTGTTTATCTATTCATTATATGTCTATATACTCCTTCTGCCTGGCTATCTTGCAAGAAGCGCGGCTCGCTAAAGAAAGTTATGGGAAAAGCAACACTTTAGCAGAAAAGCTCGCATTGTGACAGACACTAGTATGCCAATGAGATCTACAAAGTTCGACTTCGACGTTCGGTTCAAAGGTGAACCAGCCAGAATGTCGCGGCACCCATGAATGTCAATTTGCACAGGTCCTTACCAATGGCCAGGGGCGCAAGGCCTCCCTCGCGGTCTGGCCCTTGCGCCACCAATCTGCTTGCTCCGTCTGCTCCGGTTGCACAGCTTCTGCAGCCAAAAAAGAACACGGCATCAATTGCAGGTGACAAAAACGTATATAGAGAGAGAGGAACTTTCTCTTGGCATGAGCACAGCAATCTGAGAGTAGGCACCAGGGACGACAACTCGAGAGATGACAAAATCACGCCGATGTAAACAGGAAGGGCCGGCCAAACGTCCACCTCAGGACCCACATAGGCCTGGTCCATTTGCTCAGTGAAGTTTGTATGATTCATTCACAACTCATGGGCCACCTACCAATCTTCAACAAAAGTGGCTCACCCGTTGCCACGACTCTTAAGTGATCTACACCGAAATGATCCCATGCATAGCTGTAGTCAAGCTCTGCCAGGTGCAGGTGGGAGAACCATAGCGTTCCACATCGGCATCCTCACAATGATTCAGGGTCCAATGACCTGTTTCATTTGACCTGAACTTTGACCATGCCACATTTGCCCGCTGCATGCTTTGCACCGCGCCTTGCCAGTCACCACCTCGGGCGACGCATAGTTCGGAGAGCCGCAGGAGGTTTTCAGGAACTCCCCGTCACGCCTGGCGCTTTCAATCAGTCGAACTTGCACAACTCGCCTCGCAGACATGGGCATGAATTTCAATCTGGGACATTTGAAGTTTTATGTCCACTTTGCAGTTCCTTATTTTCATTCATGGCCACATGAATTCCATCAAACAGGTTGCGATCTGTGGCTCAAAAACCGGTACCCGAAATGGAACCCTGGTAAGTGGAAACATGGACCAAAACCTGCGTAACCCCAGCCACATGCCTCTGTCTTCACTTGCTGAGCTTGGGGCATTGTGTTGGACAAGCCGAAGTCTGCGATTTTCACATGCCTCAGCAAATAGCCCACTGGAAACTTGCAATGTCACAAATGGGGGACATGAAACGTAGCCTCCAAATGGGGGGATGAATTGCAGGGTCGCAGGCTGTGACATAGACCGAGTGCCAGACAAATTAGAGTCCAAAAGGAGATTCTCTGGCTTGAGATCTCTGTGCGTAACCTGCGCTTCTACAGCCGGCGCATGCCAACCCCCGGCACAAACTCGTGGAAGCGCATGCACAAGGAAGGGACTGCGACGCATGCCAGCGGTCAAGATTCGAACGCGGGCCCGGCCATGCATTGGTGGCAGTACTCCACACCGGAAAGGATCTGCTGAAAGAATCTTCTGGCCTAGTGCATCCAAATCAGATGCGATGCGCGTGAAAAGATCTTACTGGGATGGTGCCGGGCCGCACATGCGAGTGCCACCAACCACGCCCCGCGGAATCTGAACCGCGAAAAAGATCCGTCTGGTCAGCCATGGTTAAACTCCGTGTGGGCCAGGGTCATGGTTCCACTAGCTGGCCATGGGTCAAAATCCCGTACCCCCAGTGAACATCCCAATCCCCACCAAAATAGACTGCACCTACCCCAAAATGGGATCCCATTGCTTTGGACCCATGGCCAGATGTCCAACGTCCCAAGGATATCATGACCTTCCCACGTGGGGCGTTTTGATGGCACTCAGCCGATCCGCTGGCTCCGAGGCAACGGCTTCGTCCTCCTGGAGCTTCAGCTTATGGACGATGTGGTCAAAAAGCTCGCCCCCGGGCACATACTCCATGACCTCACTCTGCGCGAGTTGGGAAGTCCAAGTTAGATAAGTCAGCGGGTAGGCATGTAGATGGGTAGGTAAATAGGTAGGTAGGTAGGTAAGTAGGTAGGTAGGTAGATGGGTGGGTAGGTAGGTATGTAGGCAAGGAAGGAAGCAAGAAAGCGAACAACAGAGGATCTCTTGCTGCTGGTTTTGTCTTCGCAAAGATGTCAAGACTCTCAGCGTCCGCAAGAGTGGCAAAGGCCGGATCATGAACAAGAGGAATTTGAACATGGAGGCGTTTGCAGTCCGCAGCATTGGTTATCTCTAATCATACTGTGGATGGATCTAAGAAACCCTAGAATGATGATTCCCCTGTAAATACCAACAAACAATGGTTTCCCATTGTTTCCAAGTGGTGCAGGATTTCGTCCATCCACAGTACCGATCCCTAGCTACGCTTGCTGGGCCCAGCCACCATGAAGATGTCGCTCGGGGTGTCAAGCAACTCGTACAAGCGGATGACATGAGGATGCTTCAGGAACCTTGGCCAAATCCGCAAGCGCATGCATTTTTCCACCTACTCAGGGATCGGGCTGCAAGATTTGAATCTCTCTCCTGATCTTCTCATGCATGTTCATGTGCTCCATCTTTCGCTTGTTGATGATCTTGATGGCTACCTGCACCCAACTGGCCGCGCAAAACCCAGCCAAATCTGCATATGCAGGATACGCAAGGCGCCATGAGCGAGCCAAGCTCTTGTTTCTTTCGGGTTTATTGGCTTCAATCCCCAAACACTATACCCTTCAATTGTTGCCACCCGGACTCTTGCTGCTTGTGAGGGCCAGGCCTTCTGGCCGGTTAAGGTATGCTCAGCCATCTTCACCTGTAAGCAAAAGCACTCCTGCAAAATTGCAACGCGACAGCTGAAGAGGGAATGGGCAGCCTTGACTCACACCAAATGCCGAAAAGCCAGACAAGAGATGGCTCGTGGGACCATCATAGGTGCCCTTTTGGAAAAATAGATGGCCCTGGTAAATGGCATAAAACCCATCTAAACCATGCTCGTTGCCAGCAACAGGTCAGAATGGCACGAGCTGGAGGCGAAGCTGCGATCGGCCCTTGCCTTGCCAAAGGTTCCCACGCCGAGCGTGTTGGAGATCTGGCAAGCAGTCAATCTCAAAATGTTGGCATGAGGGTGCCCCCACCCCAACTTCCAAGAGGCCGCGCTTCAAGATTCCTTGTAAGGTCAAGGACTAAGACCACCCCGGAAAAAGAAGAAAAAAAAGGTTACTGACGCCAAGTCACTGGCTGTGCCAAAGTGAAAATAACAACAGCTGCGCCAACGCCTCTGGAAAAAGCAGCTATGCCATTTGAGAGGAGCGGCAGGGCTTTCAGTTTGAGGTGATTTCCCGGGCATCATTTGCCCCATCAAAATCAAGCAAGAAGGATACTCACCGGCGATTTCCATCCAGCAGTCGCAATCCTGATCAAGAGCATATTCACAAACATGCCAGGCCTTGTAGTGAGAGATGGTCACCATGGCTGCAAAGTACCAAGCGCTCTTCAAATGCAAAGCTCGGTCTCACCCAGCACAATTGGGGCGTGCGGATGACCCGGGGCTAGCGTGGGTGGGCTTCGTGAGATTGGGGACACAGCGGAACTGTGCATGTCGATGCTCCGTTCTCTTTAGACAACGTACTCCACGCACAAAGTCTTTGACGGTACTTGCATTCGAAAGTTGCAGGCTGCAGTGTGCACCTTCCCTAAGTCCAAAGTGTGGCTGAGTTAATTAGTTGTCATTGTGTGCGGCCCAGGCTTGCAATGGCTTATGCCTGTGCACCGAAAAAGATGTTGCACCATGAAACTTGACACCACGCCACCAACCTGAGCAAAGGACAGCGCGGATGCGCAGATGCAAGAAATCTCAAGGTCAATCCATCAAATGCCTCACCGTTCATTCTGGTCATTCCTCCGCTATTAACGGCTTGCCTCTGTATAGTTTTCGTTTACATGGAATGACCGACACGAAGGAACGGAGTTAGGGAAGGAAGAGAGACCCATCTTTTCACATCATCACCTAACTCCCTTCATTATTAGGGATAGGGAGTGAATAGGTGATGATGATGATGGGTGAAAAGAGGTGGACCTTATTAATTGGCTTTCTGGCGGCTTTATGAGAGACATTTGGAGCAGCCGCCAGCCAATTACTCTCTCTCCCTCTTCTCCTCGCTCTTGCGGCTCGCGATGGGACACACATGACAGAGGAATGTGGCCGAGCGAAAGAAGCGAGATAATGCTGGGTCCAAAGTCATCCAAAAACCCGGCAAAATACAAGAATAAAAAGATATTGACAGATAATACATCCATCAAATGCCACCGTCCTGCACTTCGTCTCCACAAGCATCACCAAGTTGCTCAACGGCGCTCGTGGAGAAGATTGTAGCTGCCAAAACCTGCTCGAAATGCTTGCTCGGCCTTTCCGAGAAATATCGTTGGCTTTCCCGCGTTCTCTACGCCACATGCCACCGCAACAGCTGCCTTGGTATATCCAAAGGCCTGCGCAGGCTGGCACAAGGCTGTGCAGGCTCAAGCAATGCGACCTTTGCGCATGCACTATGAAGGGACTACAAACTTGACCCTCACCTCCAGTAAACCCGGGCATCAAACAACGAAACGGACACGCATCGTGCTATCAGGTGCAGGTAAAATTCGCAGTGCGGCCGGGCACTGGAGCCGTTTTGGCGAGAGCCGCCTGCCGGAAGACCCTCAATGTTGGTTGATGATTCGAAGCGCATCCTGCGAGGCTGTGGCAAGGCGCCAGACGCGATGACACGCAAGCGCGATTGAGGATCACAGCCGTCATCTTAATCGTCAGGAGAAAAAAAGCGCAACAAACACATGAGTAAAACAAGTGAAACAACGCCATATTTGCCTCGGCCCCCAGGGCTCATCAAGGCCAGCGATTTCCTTGAGTGTGACTAGCAGACAGGCAGGATCGTCAACAGACAGTGAGACTGTGAGATGATTTACCTGTCCTGCGCACATACACAAACCACATACTGGTAAACAGCAGCCAGCGCAGTGTGTTTCTTGCCAACTCTGAATGCCTGGACGCACCAGGCCTGTAGGCAGGTCGTGTAATGCTTCAGAGCTTGCATGATGTCGTCGTCTGCCTGCGTGGGCCAGGGGCGCGAAACAAGTGGCCGCATGCAATCACCAACTCGTGAAAGAAGACTACGATCAAAGCCTCACACACACAACACACACACACACACAGACAGACACACGAACACATGCTGATTCATGCACTGTTGCTTTCCCCGCCCAATCGCTGCCAACGGGAAGAGCGAACTGTCCGGAAAACAGCTACAAAGATGTGCGGGAAACGCCCGGGGAGGCGCCCATGACAACACTTCAGATCAACGCTGGCTCCCCATGCCCTCCAACTTGAACAACTACACCATGGGTGCTTCAAACAAAGCCGAGCATTCGGTCATGACGCCGTTGACAACAAAACGCACCAACTGCTCTGCAGAGCAAGGCATCAACATCTCGCCCAGAACAAAAGCGCGCAACCCAATTGATCAACAGCAACAAGACCCGGCAAACCCCAGGATGTTCAATGCGTAGCAACAAAAGGAAAGCAGCAGCAGACAACCCTCTTCCGCGTCAGGAAGCTTAACAAGGGCGTCAGACACCGAAACCAATATCTGAAGAGCAAATGGCAATACACAGCGGCCGCGGCGCCTTGAAAGATGAGCATGGAGAGCACGCTAAAAACGGCTGAATGGGGAGACCAAAGCATGATCTTGGCCAGGCAAAGCACTAAGCGTTGAGGCCAATTCTAGCGTTAAGCAACCGGACTCGTGTCTTTGCTGAGAAACGACTCAAGTTGGTTGCCAGGTTGGAAGATAAAAGGATACTACTATTTTTTCGCAGCCGGGCATCCAACAGAAGGGACCCTTTCCTTGCATGTGATTCACGAAACGCAGCCGAGGCTGTTTGCGGAACCAAGTGGATAAGTCTATGAGTAAGGAACCCCAATCGGTTGGTTTCACAGACTCACAAGCCAACCCAGTCCAATGGTATACTCAAATCAATGTCACAAGAGCGGCCTGTTCTGATTGGGGGTCTCAAGCGCTGAGTTAGCTTTCGGCTAAGCTCCCCCCTTCCCGGCCCCTGCCTGCGCCCGGGCCCTTGCCTCGGCCGCCAGCATCGCCTTGATGCCAACCACCTTCTCGCTTTGGCCGGAAGGGAAGATGAATCAAAGTTGGGCACCCGTTTTTCAAGAACATCAGAGAATGCGACATGCCGATAAGCTGTCATGAGGGTTCAAAACAACCCTTGCAGGGAGCCAACTGCACCTACTATTGAAACACTGAGGTACATCAGTATTTCATTCTAGGCAACATGGAAGCATAGCACATGGGATGCACAAGGGAAGGCCACAAGGTCAGCTGTAAACGCAATGGGGAGGGGTGGCAGCATGAGTTGGAATTGCTGAGCATGAAGAACGAAACAACAGGGTTCTTATGACAGGAAGCAGCAGTGGTTGCTGTCATTGCTTGCCAAGATAGCCACAGAGGGCAATCATGACGGCTTGCGTCTTTGTTGTGTACTGTCATCCAAGCATGGCGTTTCCCTCATTGTTTTGGCCGCGCGCCTTGTCAGCTGCGTAGCTGTTGATTTCATCATCACCTGGCCGACGTGGAACATCATCGGTATTTACCCGGGCCGCAGAGCCCCGCATGCCTAGCTTTGCTTCACGCAGGGCCTGTGATTGATGCGGTTCGTTAGCGAGTTAGAATGTTGGACATGTTCGTTTGTGGTCAAATTACCAAAAAAAACTCTCCGAGTCAGTTAAGTGAGTGAGAAGCAGAGGAGGAAGAGGAGGAGGAGGAGGAGAGGAGGAAGGAGGAGAAGGAAGGAGGAGGAGGAGGAGGAGGAGGAGGAGGAGGAGAAGGAAAAAAAGAGAGGAGCGGACGAGGTCATTCAAGGCAAGTGCCCCACACAAGAATGTGAGGAAAAACCTAGATCTTCAGGGTGAGACGGGCTGATCTAACCGGAAGAAACGTACGTCTCCGGGTGAACTCGAAGCAAAACACTCCCGAACTACAACCTGAACCTTGCGTGCATTTCAATGGCAGCAATTGGAGAATTGGTGCTTTCTGGGAAACCCAAACAAATCAATTGCTCAAACTGCCAGCCACGTTGCAACCTTGTTCGGCGTGTCGGATACCTAAGAGAGGACTATTGGATACCTAAGAGAGGATAGAGGATAACCCCCCCCTTAGTCCCCCCCCGGGACACGTCAAATACGCATGGTTTTTCGGTCGCCACCCCCCCCCCCTCCCCCGCGTACCGCGCGGCAATTTGATGACGTTCCACTAAACGTAGTCTTCGGGGAGCGGGTCTGGAGAAACGGGGGTCCCAGGCTCGAATCCTCCCGCCGCCTCTTTCTGCCGGCTGAGGTTTTGTGCTGCCTTTTGCGGAAAACTTTGAGACACACGGTGTTCGGTGTTTTTCCTTTGCTGACACCATTGAAAAAAACATTGTGTTTTCCGATTTCCTTGACAATTGGCATTTCCATCCGACTTCCCCCCAATTTCCCCCCCAGTTTCCCCCAAATGTCCTGGCAAATTCCCCAACCCCAGCTTCCTTCCAAGTGTCGCCCCCAATGTCCTTCGTGTCGGATACTTGGCCGACCGTGCGGCAGTTTCATAAACAAAGTCTTCGCCCTTGCGACTTGTCACGACCCTTGCGATGCCCCTGCGGGACCCTATGACGAGTCTTCAATCCCGGCTCCGAGTGTGCTCTGGAAAATCCTGTCCTGTTCACACCCTTGCGTCTTGTCACGACCCGTGCGATGCCCCTACGGGACCCTATGACGAGTCTTCAATCACTGGAAGCTGCCTTGTGCGGAAAACTTTGAGACACACGGTGTTCGGTGTTTTCCCTTTGCTGACACCATTGAAAAAACATGGTGTTTTGCGATTCCGCCGACATGACGTTCCACTAAACGTAGTCTTCGGGGAGCGGGTCTGGAGAAACAAACATGGTGTTTTGCGATTCCGCCGACATGACGTTCCACTAAACGTAGTCTTCGGGGAGCGGGTCTGGAGAAACGGGGGTCCCAGGCTCGAATCCTCCCGCCGCCTCTTTCTGCCGGCTGAGGTTGTGTGCTGCCTTTCGCGGACAACTTTGAGACACACGGTGTTCGGTGTTTTCCCTTGGCTGACACCATTGAAAAAAACATTGTGTTTTCCGATTTCCTTGACAATTGGCACTAATTTCCCCCCAATTTCCCCTAATTTCCCCCAATGCTTCCCCGCAAATTGCGCCTTACTTTCTCGCCAATTCCCTCCCCCTTTCCTTTCAATTTCCTTCCGACTTCCCCCAATTTCCCCCCCAGTTTCCCCCAAATGTCCTGGCAAATTCCCCAACCCCAGCTTCCTTCCAAGTGTCGCCCCCAATGTCCTTCGTGTCGGATACTTGGCCGACCGTGCGGCAGTTTCATGACGCTCCACTCAACAAAGTCTTCGCCCTTGCGACTTGTCACGACCCTTGCGATGCCCCTGCGGGACCCTATGACAGAAGAGCATACTAGGGGGACACGGGCGAGAGGAAGAAGGAGACAAGCTAGATGCCAATGTCGGCGGACTGAGCCGGAGGCTCTAAAGTCAATTGCTCAAACTGCCAGCCGCTTCTACCTGCACGTTGCAACCACAGGATTGCAAGAATCATCGTGACCCGATGGACAGGGCATCGGCTGTCCTTGGACCCAAAATTGAACATGGGCACAGGATACCAAATTTGCCACAGGACACACCGAAGCACGAAATCGTTCACTCTTCTGATGCACCTGTTTCCCTCTGCTGCTTGAGGCTGTCTAGCTGGGCTCGAAGCGCCTGATACCTGAGATCAGCCACACAGCTTACGGCAACACACAACATACAGCTTCATCCCACAACCACTACCACCATCGGTACCAGCACCAATACCAGCACCAGCAGCGACAGCAACAGCAACAGTAGCGACAGCAGCACCAAAAGCAACAGCTCGTTGTGGGTGGTGTTGTCGGTGGTGTTGGTGTTGTTGATGTTGTTAGCTTGGCCAGCGGCTGGCGTGACTGGCGTTGCAGGCGTTGCTGGTGTTTTTAGTGTCTTTTGGTGTTGCGGCTAATCGACCACGACCATGACAGATTGCAACAACGGCCTGCAATGTTACTACTGGATGCTGCAGTTGTCAAGTTTGTGAAGAATGCATAGCGCAACAAGCAACAGAGCAAGAACATCACAGCGAAGATACGCTTTTCACTGGAGAAGCAACTACTCACTCGCAACAAAAGGACAATCGCCTGCTTGCGTTCACCTGCGAGTAAGACAAAAACCGCCGCATCCCCACGGATCTCCCGTGCTCCTCCCATGTGCACGACTCGATCTGGGGCCGCGGGCTTCTGCTCTCGCAGCTGCGCCTGGGCCTTTAGCGCCGCCCTGGTCTGCACCTCGATGTCTTTGAAGTTTGAAAAAGCTTGGAGGCGAGTAACAATGCTGCCCACGAAAATTGGAGACGGCAAAAAGCCACACCTGTCAGAACCAGAGTTCGCAATTCGAGACAGCCTTGGCTCCCAAGCAAAGGCTAGGAGCTCCCCGACTCTTTTGGGGGGTCGGCCTAGACATATCCTTCAAGTTTCAGTTTGAAAGAGGCACCAAGGCTGGCTTTCTTTGCGGACAGGCCTGCAAAACAGTGATGTGGACAACATTGAGGTTGCACACATTTGGCAGAGCACAACTTTGATCTTCATTCTTTGTTTTCACCATCTTGACTGAGGTGCTGCCCGCCTCATAGTCCGACAGCTGCTTGGCGAGAGAGTCTTCGCGCACTTTCCTTTCCTCGGCGTGCAACTCTAGCTGACCCAAGAGGACAACTGCCAAATGAAATGATGGCCTTTCTGTTTTGCCCTGCTCGCCTGCCAGCAGATGCCCTTTCGCCTGTAAGAAATCGCTTGGCCCGTAAGAAACCATGCGATCTTCAACTGTGCCACCGCACAGCTTGACTGCAAGCAAAGGCTCGGCCGTCTCCTTTTCTTGGGCGGACACCGAGTTTGCAACCTCCTTCAAGGCTTGCAAAGACATCGGTCGCTGCGCTCTCTCCCGGCTCCTGTGCCAGCCGCTGATTGCGCAGGACTGCTTCCTGGCGTCACGGGCTTCACGGTGGATACTGAAACACACCAATGACAGTGAAACCTCAAGAAATCACAAAGTCTTGTTGGATACTGCAGAGACCTTGGCTTTGAAAGTTGTTTGCACAACTCCTGCATCTGTTTCTCCCGTGTGTCGGCAAAGTCGTGCTCCACTTGTGCCATCCGCTCGCCGAGCGTGGCGACGCCTGCGAATGGAGGACTGACAGTGACAGCACCTGCACACCGAGCACACTCAACCTGGCACTAGTGGAATTAGGCAAGGTGTTGTCACTAAACCAACCTGATCATAGAATTCACAGGAAGGTGTTGCCACATAAGATAATTTTGGCACTAATCCGATGATCAGACAAAAAGAGATCCTCTGTTCGAAAGAAGCGGTTGGAAGGCAAATTCTCAAAGGCTCGGGCTGGAGCCCAGGCGATCCAGCTTCTCCATGAAAACTGCCTCCAGTCGGTCCTGGAGCCGTGTCCACAAATTCCTGGCTCATTGGACCTCATTGCCGGACCCTGGTCCAAACAACAGGGTGTCCCCTGTCTATCCGCGGACCCCCCGACCGGAATTTTCCAGTCGCATCACGCGCCAGTCCGTGGCTCCTCAATCGCCTGGACTTGTGACTCGAACATGGTGCCGAGCGCCTTGTTGGCCTGGCAGCAAAGTCATTTCGGCAGGTTCATCCCCAAGCATGCAAGCACAAACTCCAGGGCATCCTTCAGAACTGCCTGAAGCTGAGCTATCTACTGACCTCAAACCTCAAATATGTGTATGCTGCCAGCACCACGCTTGTGAGCCCTGAATTGTCATCTCAAACATGATCAACAGAATCCATCTGCAGGCCCTCCACCCACATTCCACCCTGGCGCCAGCCTCTTCCCGCTCCCGAATCTCAGACTGCACGGACTGCACCACCTTCATCATTCCCTCTTTCACACCTCAATCGAAGTCCGAAAGGACAAGAATTGCAGGTGGCCAATTGGAAACGACTGACCTCTCTCCCTGCTTTGCAATTCACAGTATCTGCCTGACAACAGTTCACATTTGCGTTCATTGTTTACTGGCACGGTGAAGAGCTCACCGCATCTCCGCTGCTGTTCTCAACCCACTCTATTTCCGAACTCTTGAATGCCACAAGGGCCAGTGATCTGGCCATCACGAATTTAAGTAAGGAAAATGGCCTCAAAGCACACACCAGCAGAGCCGAGGCGATGCGAGGCAAAGACCCGGAGGCAGTTGGGTGTCTGGCCCGCAAGCTTGGAGCTATCTCGATCGATGCGGCTCCTCTGTTGACGCAACGACTTGACGCAAGAAGCCTCGCTCTTCTCTGGCCTCGTGTCCTCCTCCCATTGCGATTGGAAACTCGAGAACTTCTCCCGCAATGAGGAGATCTTTGCCTGGCACGGCAACTGCAGCTGAGTTGTGGGTCCCTCTCACGCCTGCATCATCGCTGGGGCTGTATCGTTCCTCGGCAGTCCATGCTTGTGGGGCAGGCTTGTTTGACTGCCTACCCTCTTCGCGATGCGTCATGGAAGTGACAAACACATATGATACATACCATTTGAAAACAAACTGGCACTTGGATGCAGCTTACCGAGCTCAAGCATGAGTTTGGTAAGGGAGTGTGCTCCCATGTTAGGTGCCCTGAAGGCAGGGCAATTGCGTTGCGCCAAGGAGCAAAGACATGGATTCTTCCATTGCGCAGCATTAGCCATTAAGATTGTCAGTCGAAGGAATTCTCTCTCTCAGCTGCTCTAAGTTGTGTGACAATGCACTGCCAGCACTGCAGCCCTTTCTTGCAATTTACTTACAATGAAACAAAGATCCAACAGCCAAACGAACAAAGTGGGTCCACTGGCGTTCGAGACTTCTCGGCAAGGCGGCCGCTTTTATGCACAGGAGACGTTACCAGCGTCTGTATCTTAACAATCTAGAGCCAAGCTGGAGAGTGTGTTGTGCTTCGGCAAGACATTCTCTCTTCCAGAAAATGATTGCGAACTGATAGCTTCTTTTGCGGGAGTTACGACGAAGATAAGAAGAAGGCAGAATACCTCTTGGCCTTTCAAGTCCATTGCAAAGACAGCCCTGCCTTAACACAATCCACGCAAAGATGTTCACTGTGTTTGTCGAAGAAGTGGAAACCCGACGTTTAAGCTTCTTTATCCCTGTCTCCCACGAAACAAAAAGCTGCCCTAGGTGCGCTCAAGCTTGAATCCGTGAGGGCATGTTTTGGCGAGACAGATATGCGAGTCGCCATCCCTGTACAGAATCGGCTGACTCGTCGGTTGGGTGAGGTTGCCTAGTCTTACAAGAAGAAATAACGCAACTGTGCGGGAGCACCAGGCCACAAATGCCTGGTCCAAGCTTCCTGCATGTTCATCGGCAAGACTGTGCAGAAATTCGAGCATCAAATGATTTGAGAAAACGGAAAGGTCCCTGTCGGGAAGCCAAGGCAGCCAGCATAGTAATTGGGCCTGATTGCAGCTGCATTTTTGGACTGAAACTAAGAAGCGTCTTTTGGCTGCCCGCTGGACTCAAACACTTTGAATCACGTCGTGCCCAGTGCAGCTCACTGAATCGGCAAAGGCACAGACCTCAGTGCGCAGGGATCCAACTCGTACTGGGAATGTACACAGTGCTACTAATCTTGTTCAGGCGTGAAAGCATGCGCACATGCACGCGGGCATGTGTACTTGCATGCTCGCCCACATGCGTGTCTACACACGCAGACTTGTGCGCGTGCGCGCATGTGAGGTGGGCGTGTGTGCATGAGGGCCTGTGAGCGTGAAAACGTGCGCACATGTGAGTGAGCTCGGGTGCTTCAGTGTGCGTTTGCACAACACTGCACCAGCATAACAATGGATAGAAAAACATGTGTTTGGGTATCCAAACAACAGGTGCTTGACACCCGCGAATGCAAAGTATGACTTATACAGACACAGGAGACATCCCCTACTCTGCAACACCTTCCAACCATGCCAGTTGGAACAGAACCCCGCAACAGCACCTTGATTCAGCTTACCATCTGCCAGCAGCCTAATGCAACAGCACCCTTCTAAGGCGCAGTGTACAAGCACCCTGCGCAACTCTCTGCGTCTCGCTTGCACGACACCCATGCGCCTGTGTGCCGCTGCGCAGAGCGCGCAAGCATGCATGCGAGGGCGTCCGTGCATCCGTTTCTGCATCTGTCCGTGCCCAGCCTACAGTGTGCGGGCTGGCCAGGGCAGGGGTGGCATGGCATGGCGTGCCGGGTGTTGAAAATGACAACTTTTAGATCAAACTGCTTTCGGGCAACTGGCGCCTCACATGCGGGATTCGACTTGATCCAGTTTCTGGGCTGCTGGCTCGTCCATGCTGTTCACGTAGAAACAGCTTGGCCCGGGCGCAGTCAAGGGCTCTTGGTCCTCCTCGCGCCCAAGGACCCGTGACCTTGGCCCGGATAGACGTCCCTCCCAGGGCAACGATTTGGACCTCCATGCGTTTAGTGTTTCGCTCGTTGCACCAAGTCGATCACGAAGAATGCTGAGGCTTTCTGACTCTTACTCTGGAGGATGGTGTCCACGCAAAAATGCACGTACCAGGTAGCTCGCTGTCGGACTGTCACGTTGCTGGAATCAGCACATAGGTTTCTTTGTTCTTCCGAGATTCCATCATTCTGTTGTTCTAGGCTGTCTGCCCCAAGAAGTTAAGGGCCTATGTCAAGCAACCGAGTCTTGCTCCAAGTGCCAGCTGAAGGGCAGTAGGTGCGGTGGAAGTCGTTGCGGTGGCACCGCCTTGCGACTGCGAGGCCCCAACACCAACGTGAAAATGTCAGTGGTGCGGACGCTACTCTTCGAGTCTCAGTCCGAAACTTGCCAGCATTCCAAAGGAAGCTATATCGGAGGGGCATGAGACTCCTCATGAGATGCAAGAAGCCACTGGCCTGCAGTCGCTGCTTCAGCCGGAAGCCATCAAATCGCGCGTTGGCTGCCTCAGGCCGGTCTCCTTTTGCCAAGCCAATGTGGGTCCAGCTAAATCTGCCACACCTCCCAACTCCAAAGGCCATGCTCTGCCCCATGCGTTTGGAAGGCAAACGGCACATGTCAAAGGTTCACATACTTTTCCTCCTAGGCGCGGCATCACAGCACAGGCGACAGCGGCATTCCAGATCCAGGAAGTCAGCAGCGTAGGCCTCAGGCAGGGGGCAAACATGCCTCCTGGAACAAGGCCCAGGAAAGGAACTGGCTTCACGTTCCGAAAAGGGGTGCAGTTTGTGGAGTGGATCCATATGCAAACCCTTGGGAGTCTGTGTTGGGTCGCTTGAGCAATTGGTTTACCATACTGAAGCCATAGGTGAGGCGAAACAAGCAAAACTCCGTGGCCTTCACCAGGCCTTACATGCGGGAAACCCCCCTTCATCCACTCCATCGAGGTCTTGACCTTGTTTTGACTCCCCAAGAGCCAGAAAAAAATCAACCAGAGCCATCTTGAAAAAAACAACAACCAGAACCGTCTTGAAAAAAAAGAAAAGAAAAATTAAAGGACCGGATAACCCCACATGCTATGTTTTTCCCAAGGATGTGAGTTCAAATGTCTGGACACAAAGCTTCTGCGAGCCCAATCTCAACATCCAACAGCTTGCCTCACAATGCACCCTGCCTCATGTACTCACAGCTCTGCACTTGCACAAGCCTTGTAGACGACCCTTTAGACATCCGAGAAGTGTGAGTGAGTGTGAGTATGAATGCGAGCGAATGAGTGACAAAATGCTGCCCCTGCCACACAAACACACGCCCAGACGCACAGAACGCTGCGCCTGCCAAAGTGCCGCGCCTGCCACGATTTCGCACGCCCCCCGCCGAGCGCGCAACGCCATCCTGTCCTTTTAGACAGCTGCCAAATGCTGCCCCTGCCACACAAACGCACACCCAGATGCACAGAATGCTGCGCCTGCCCTGCCACACAAACACACACCCAGATGCACAGAATGCTGCGCCTGCCACGACTTCGGCAATGGCATCTCCACACCCAGATGCACAGAATGCAGCGCCTGCCACGACAGAGGCAACGGCATCGCCAAAGTGCTGCGCCTGCCACGATTTCGCACGCCCCCCGCCGCGCGCGCGACAACATCCTGTCCCTCTAGACAGCTGCCGAATGCTACCCCTGCCACACAAACACACACCCAGATGCACAGAATGCTGCGCCTGCCACGACTTCGGCAACGGCATCGCCAAAGTGCTGCGCCTGCCACGATTTCGCACACCCCCCGCCGCGCGCGCGCCAACATCCTGTCCCTCTAGACAGCTGCCGAATGCTACCCCTGCCACACAAACACACACCCAGATGCACAGAATGCTGCGCCTGCCACGACTTCGGCAACGGCATCGCCAAAGTGCTGCGCCTGCCACGATTTCGCACACCCCCCGCCGCGCGCGCGACAACATCCTGTCCCTCTAGACAGCTGCCGAATGCGACCCCTGCCACACAAACACACACCCAGATGCACAGAATGCTGCGCCTGCCACGACTTCGGCAACGGCATCGCCAAAGTGCTGCGCCTGCCACGATTTCGCACACCCCCCGCCGCGCGCGCGCCAACATCCTGTCCCTCTAGACAGCTGCCGAATGCTACCCCTGCCACACAAACACACACCCAGATGCACAGAATGCTGCGCCTGCCACGACTTCGGCAACGGCATCGCCAAAGTGCTGCGCCTGCCACGATTTCGCAACGGCATCGCCAAAGTGCTGCGCCTGCCACGATTTCGCGCCCCCCGCCGCGCGCGCGACAACATCCTGTCCCTCTAGACAGCTGCCGAATGCGACCCCTGCCACACAAACACACACCCAGATGCACAGAATGCTGCGCCTGCCACGACTTCGGCAACGGCATCGCCAAAGTGCTGCGCCTGCCACGATTTCGCACACCCCCGCCGCGCGCGCGACAACATCCTGTCCCTCTAGACAGCTGCCGAATGCTACCCCTGCGCCAGATGCACGATTGCTGCGCGCACGCGCAACGGCATCGCCAAAGTGCTGCGCCTGCCACGATTTCGCACACCCCCCGCCGCGCGCGCGACAACATCCTGTCCCTCTAGACAGCTGCCGTGAGTCAGCGAGTGTGAGTGAGTGAGTGAGCGAGTGAGTGAGTGAGTGAGTGAGTGAGTGAATGAGAGTGAGTGAATGAGAGTGAGTGTGAGTGAGTGAGTGTGAGTGAGCGTGAGTGAGTGAGTGAGTGAGTGTGAGTGAGTGTGAGTGAGTGAGTGTGAGTGAGTGTGAGTGACTGAGTGTGAGTGAGTGAGTGTGAGTGAGTGAGTGTGAGTGACTGAGTGTGAGTGAGTGAGTGTGAGTGAGTGAGTGTGAGTGAGTGAGTGAGTGAGTGAGTGAGTGAGTGAGTGAGAGTGAGTGAGTGAGTGAGTGAGTGAGTGAGTGAGTGTGAGTGAGCAGTGATGAGGAGGGAGGGCGGGAGGAGGAGGAGAAGGAGACGCGGCGCGCGGACGACGAGCGGTAAAAGTAAGAACCCCACACAAAGATGTGGGGAAGAACCCCACACAAAGATGTGGGGAACAAACACACACCCAGATGCACAGAATGCTGCGCCTGCCACGACTTCGGCAACGGCATCGCCAAAGTGCTGCGCCTGCCACGGTTTCGCACACCCCCCGCCGCGCGCGCGCCAACATCCTGTCCCTCTAGACAGCTGCCGAATGCTACCCCTGCCACACAAACACACACCCAGATGCACAGAATGCTGCGCCTGCCACGACTTCGGCAACGGCATCGCCAAAGTGCTGCGCCTGCCACGATTTCGCACACCCCCCGCCGCGCGCGCGACAACATCCTGTCCCTCTAGACAGCTGCCGAATGCTACCCCTGCCACACAAACACACACCCAGATGCACAGAATGCTGCGCCTGCCACGACTTCGGCAACGGCATCGCCAAAGTGCTGCGCCTGCCACGATTTCGCACGCCCCCCGCCGCGCGCGCGACAACAGTGAGTGCCAGATGCAGTGAGTGAGTCAGTGAGTGCTGAGTGTGAGTGAGTGAGTGAGTGAGTGAGTGAGTGAGTGAGTGAGTGAGTGAGTGAGTGAGTGAGTGTGAGTGAGTGAGTGAGTGAGAGTGAGTGAGTGAGTGAGTGAGTGAGTGAGTGAGTGAGTGAGTGAGTGAGTGAGTGAGTGAGTGAGTGAGTGAGTGAGTGAGTGAGTGAGTGAGTGAGTGAGTGAGTGAGTGAGTGAGTGAGTGAGTGAGTGAGTGAGTGAGTGAGTGCGTGAGTGAGTGAGTGAGTGAGTGAGTGAGTGAGTGAGTGAGTGAGTGAGTGAGTGAGTGAGTGAGTGAGTGAGTGAGTGAGTGAGTGAGTGAGTGAGTGAGTGAGTGAGTGAGTGAGTGAGTGAGTGAGTGAGTGAGTGAGTGAGTGAGTGAGTGAGTGAGTGAGTGAGTGAGACAGTGATGAGGAGGGAGGGCGGGAGGAGGAGGAGGAGAAGCAGAGGCGGTGCGGCGGTAAAAGTAAGAACCCCACACAAAGATGTGGGGAATCAACCTGCCATCTTGAAAAACTTGGGGCAATTGGGTACAATTTGGGGAAAGAAGAAAACAACAGCTGCATGTCTCGATGCCAAAAGGCCTGGGATCCCTCGAGCATCAGTTGCCACGCGACCTGCCGTGCATGGGATTCAAACGAGCCCTTCACAGAGATCCTTGGTTCTAGAAATCACGGAGGAATTCTGGAGGAAATTATGGAGGACATGTTGCTTGAAACTCAATTACTGTAAGAATTAGAGTTCATTCATACTAAAATCGTATAGTCCTAGTGTGGTGCTAGTCCCAGTTGAGAGATCCCTGGTCCTGCTGGTTGCCCAGCTTCTGCACCAACTCCTGGAACATGATTTGCTGAAGCTGCAGCATGGGCTTCACGTCCTGCAAAAAATGATCTCCATACGTGGGCCTTGCCCACCCATTCCAGGGACGAACACTGTTGCCCACTCTTGGCGATTCGGCAAACAGCTGAAGAAATCAGCAAGTGGAGAGTTTGTTTTGCAGTCTTACAAGCTTCTCCTCCACCGCATACTGCACCATGTCCGCTGGCAGTGGCCGCCGCTCCCAGAGATGTCGGTCCTGCGTGTAACTCTCGGTCTCCCTCCAGGCACGTGGCTTCTCAAACATGGCACGCAGCTACCCCGTCCTGCGAGAAGCGCGTATGTATCCTTTGCTTTTGCTCCTTCCCAAGGGGATCTGTGAGAATGCATGTGCTTGCAGCCATGTTCCTCTCACTTCACTCCTGTGTCACCACGCCGTAGCCAGCCACAGAACCCTGCTGGATTCTGTAGGAGCTCAGCAGCCTCATCTCAAAGCCAACCTAAACGCTGCCTCGCTTCCAAAAGTTGGCCAAGCACCAGGAAATCAATTGTCCCAGAGTACCCACCCAAAAAAAGGCCATTCGGCCAGGTCCCCCACCCAAAGAAAGCCATGCGGCCTAGTCCCGGCCTTGGCCTATGCGCATAGAAACCGTAAATTATGTTTTGCAAATCTTTCGTCTGTGTCCCAGGGAGCAAGCTTCGAGCTGCCCAGCACATAGTTCGTCCTGTCAGAAAGGGGGAACAAGCTCACAGGTGGCAAAATAAACACCTCTTGGGTTCTTCATGCTTCGCGAGACGGCAAATACAGTAAGCATGAAACCCAATCAAGAACTGGTGTGCTTTGCAAGTGAGCCAAGTGCATCAGAAAAACGCAAAGCTTCGGCAGTTCAACCCTGGCCTGAAGTTGTCCAGTCGGCGCAAGAAGACGTTGCAGAGCTGGCAGTCAAAGATGCCCCTACACATCGTGCCAGAAACTTGTGCTTCAGTGATGTAGAAATATCCAGAAAAAGCGGACCATGTTTGCTGCGATACTGTCCGCCACTCGAGATGCAGCATTGCGGGTGTGTTTCAGCATTGCCTCAACTAGTTGGGGGCTTCTTACGGGTCGCTTCTCAGCAAGGAGGACAGCAGTTCTGAAGCAAAAACCGTGCATCGCGCCTTGGTTCAATGCCGTATTGGTGCTTTAATGCGTCAGCATCCTGACCTCAGCAAGTTTCGTGAATGTATGTATGTATGTACGTACGTACGTACGTATGTATGTGTGTGTGTGTGTGTGTCTGTATGTATGTATGTACGTACGTACATACGTACGTACGTATGTATGTATGTATGTGTGTGTGTCTGTATGTATGTATGTATGTATGCATGTATGCATGCATGCATGCATGCATGCATGTATGTATGTATGTATGTATGTATGTATGTGTGTGTGTCTGTATGTATGTATGTATGTATGTATGTAGGTACGTACGTACGTACGTAAGTATGCATGTATGTATGTATGCATGTATGTATATGCACACATGACTTTATATATATATATACATACACAAAAAGGCATGTATAAACAAATATTATATATATACATATAAATGGAGCTCCTCTTCTCATTTGAGTGCGTGTTGGCGCACGAGGGCTTCTGACCCAGCCATGGCATTGGAGGGCAGGAAAACAAATCGTAGCCCAGCAGGACCTGTCCGGCTCAGTGGCCTGCTTGGCCGTTTTGGCTTGACCAAAAAAAGGCACAGCGGCAGGCAAGCATGCTCAACAAAGCAATGATACCTCACCACCCCAAGGTCGAAGGATTTCAAGAAACAGAAAGTAAGAAGGTGAACATATTCAGTCCATGTGTTGAAATATGTTGGTTTTTGTTTCTTACTATGTTGACTGTGTTTTACCTGTGGTTCATTGGCTCCAGCATTTTACTTTTGGACTTCTTCACTTTTAGCCATTGACTCCGACAGGGGTAGATCCAAACCGACTGAAATTTCATTCGGGAGTTTTGGAGCTGGAAGCCTTTTTTTTGCTGCCTTCCCCAAGCCCCACAAAGAGGCAAACAAAGCTGTAAATACCAGTGAATTCTGAAGGAAGGTATATCCATGGGAGAGATACCATATCAATAGATATGTATATATATATATATATCCAATATGTATAGAATGATATATATATATATATACATATATATATATATATATTTGTCTGGAGATGCGATCCCCCCCCATCCTTCCCAGTGGACCAAGGTTCTTCGTTCTTCCTGGCTCGGAGCAAGGATATCCCTCATTTGTTCTTGAGCAAGGCTAGGCAAGGTAGGCGAAACGTGCCCCAATCTGGGCACATAGCAAATCTCAGCGCTGAAAAATGGCAAGCATGCACCTTTGAAGTGATTTCAGAACATTGCTCCACGATACATGTCTCACAATCACGATGACAGCCGGGGCGATCAATGACGCTCGCTCAGCTTCGAGCGAAAGTCGTGCACCACCTTCACGACCCGGTCAGATTCCAAGATCATAGCCAAGCCAAGCCTGAGACAACTGTCTCAGAGGCCTTGAAGGCATGTTGCGGGGCTAAGTCGGTATCAACGGCGGCAATGATGCAACGAAGAAATGAAGAAATGGCTGGTTCCAGCGTTCCGATTTTCCGCTGCGCCGTGCTTGCAAGCTAAAATATGGGTCCACGGAAACCCTTGCAGTAATTCAAGTGTCCAATAGCACTTTGGACTGTAATAGAAGAGTGGCTCAAAGGCGCGAGCACCCAGCATCATAATGTCCACTGCCACAGCAAAGCCTTGCCGAGTACCGATCCTGGCTATCAAACTCAGCCTACCAAAGGAGAAAATTCGAAATTGCTGATTTGACTTTCTAGCTATGCTAGCAGTGGCTTGAGAGCTCAGCAAGAGCTGGAAAAAATCACCCTCCAACTGCCCATGACCCCACACTGCATACTGAACAGGAAGCCTGCATGTTAGGCAAGCAGGCCGGACAGACTGCATCAAGCAAATCCTGGCAGCTGGCTGCTGAGAGGCGGCAAAGCAGAAGGAGCACTCTCCGTTCTCATCACAACCTGCTGCAACACTTGCTTCACGCCTGCCGTGGTCAACGTGCGACCCCAACCTTAGGTGCGGCAGCTGTGCTGTTGGTGTGCTGCAAGCCTCTTTCTGAATGACAGGTCGTTGGATTTCCAAGGAACCTATGCACAAGTGTGCGTTCAGGGGGCACGGCTTCTCGCCATTTCGCCAAGCACCCTTGGAGAGGTCGGCACCCTGGCAAGATTGCAACGGCCAACTTGAAGGCGCCAAAAACACAACACTCTGCCTCAAAGTCCACTGAGATAATGCTCTCATGGCCAAGCCACGACAGGAGCTTGTGAAGATCCTGACAGGGGGGTTGCTGTGGTTTCAGCTTGAGCAGTGAGTCAGCAACAGGACAAGGCAGCACAGGATTCAAAATTCGATGGTGTTTGCGACCTGGCTCTGGACAAAACCCAAGGTGTTCGTGCACCAGGAGGATGTGAATATCTGGGAGAGGGGAGCTTTAGAAGTTTGATTCAAAGCGACGCTTGAACAAAAAATGGACTGGATATCCTGCCATTTACGCCCCTCCCTTCTTGAGTGAAATCCTCTTCCGTCGAAATGATCTGCACCTGCATCGAAAAGGGTCAAAGACTTGCAAACCCAAACACATCAAGACTGAGGATCTTGCAGTCGGCAGCCTGCAAGCTCAAAATGTTCTGCTCATCGACAGTTCGGCGAAAACGAGTCAAGAAGCAAAGCCAGGTCTCGGACTGGGGCTCGGAGGCGTAAGCATAACTGCCGGGCACGAATGCGGCAGCGCCGGGATTCATGAGTGGCAGGATTACTTTTGGTCACAACTAAAGCTGCGTTTCGACCCAAAAAATTTGCAAGCTGGACCTCGAAAATTGTACACTTGTGCATTTGGCAAGGGGTGATCGGCTGTTGCAACTGCATTTCCTGCGTTGTTCAAACCATGATGTCACAAATAGCTGCAGAACAGAAATGCATGGCCCAAAAGCTTCTCGGTCAGATTCTGCCAGTTTTCAACACGCCCTCTTCTGGCACAGCTTGTTCGGGAGGTGCATGCGTCCCACCATAGGTGACATTTACGACGGCGGGCTCAAACACGAAAAATAAGGGTGGGCCAAAAATACGGATGGGCTAGGATGAGCTTCAAAAAATCAAAAGGTCCGCGCACAGGGCACTCGGACCAGGTGCCCTTACCTGCAAAGGCTACAAGGCAAGGAGCAAAATGTGCCCACACGTATTTCAACTTGACCGACCCTAAAAAAACAACCAGCGCAAGTCAGCAAAGCAGGGCTGGTCAAAAAAATGGGCAGCATAGACCCCAAATAGCAACAAACAAGCGGATGATTGCACACCAGCACCTCCACCCCCGGAGCACACGGCGCAAAAATGTCGGCACCCCAAGACTGCACCTGCCAAACTGCATGCTCCCTAGCACAGCCCCAAACCCCAAAACAGAACGTGTAGCACCCCAAACTGCATGTCCTACCGTCAATCTTGCTAAACTGCGCCCGCACCCCCTTTCACCCTGCCGCCTATCACGCAAACATGTCCGCACCGCCACCAGCACCTCAAACGACACCCCAAAACAGCACCTCAAAACGCCACCTGCACCAGCACCCAAACCGCACCACAAAACAGCTCCCCAAAAGCACACTCTCACAACATCTGCACCAGCCCCCAACTGCACGCCCCCTGGCACCCAGCCGTCAATCTCACAAATCATGTTCCCCTCTTTCATAGAAGTTGGGACCCCTATAGCTTCCAGCTCGCTGGGGAAAACAAGCGCAAACTGAGGTTTGCCAAAGAGTACTGTTGTGAAGTAAACAAAAGCACCTCGGCCAGTGCAAGTTCGGAAATCTATTCAGACAAGCACGGCACTTTGTCTTGCATTCATCTGCCATATTTACGCACATCACCAAGCAGTTCCCATCGTCTGCACTCATTTCTTGAGGAATCTCAATGGGCCCAAGCATGCGCATAGACAGGGCAAAGTCGCATCGCTTACCAACGGGGAAAGCCGCTGGATCTGTTGCGTTGACTCAAGCTCTTTTGCAAGTTGTCATCCAATGCTCTTCTGCAAAGCGTGAAGGAGCGTCAGCCGGATTGGAGCCGTTGTGATCCAGGTGTACCATGGCAAACATTGGCAATCAAACTCCACAAAGTTGAGCCCATTTGACGGGTCTGCGTTGCACTTTGCTTTGTGTTGGGGATCGGATTGGTGTGCAACGGTTTGTGGCGGTTCAGATTGGTTGGTGAAATTTTGATTGGTTTGCGTAAAGGGTCGGATTAATTTGTGATGGGGGTCAAATTGATGATGAGTCGGATTGGTCTGCGCAAGGGGCGGTTTGGTGTGCGCCCAGCGCGACACGTGGCTGGGGGCTGGATTGGTTTGTGATGTTGATGTGGATGCAAGCTGACGCGTAGAAAGCGAAACAATACGAAGGCGAAGCAAGACGGCGCGCGTGTTCTGGCCCAAGGTGTAAACTGTCGCAAGTGAGACTTATCGAGAGTCAAGAGTTGAGAAAGAAAGGCGCTGCAAAAATTTACGGAGTGTAGGAAACACTGAGAACGGTGCGAAAGAAAGAGCACTATTGCGCGGAGGCATGGTTGGTCTCAGAAAAAATACGGGTGGGTGTCTTGCGACGTTGTCAACAACTGACGGGTAAAAAACAAGAACGCGCCAACACAAAAAAGGGTTGCGAGTGCGTTTCTGCGCCTGCCGTGTCGAGTGCGGCTGCGTTTCAAAGACAAGCGCCCAAAAGATTTCTCAGGGACGGAGGGCTGCCACATTGGGATCGGTGGAAGGCAGCTGAAATTTTCAGACCCGGATTGACAAGGAGGGGCCTCGATTACTCGATTCTTCGATTCTTCGATCGCTCGATTCTTCGATTCTGGGATTCTTCGATGGTTCCATTCTTTGATTCCTTGATTCCTCCATTCGTCGATTCTTCGATTCTTCGAATTGTCGAGTCTTCGATTCTTCGATTCTTCCATTCTTCCATGCTTCGATTCTTCGGTTCTTCGATTACTCGGTTGCTCGATTTTTCGATTGCTCAATTCTTCGATTCTTCGATTCTTCGATTCTTTGGTTTTTCGATTTTTCGATTTTTCGATTCTTCGATTCTTCGATTCCTCGATGCGACTCCTCGGTTGTTCGTTTTTTTTGATTGCTCGATTGTTCGATTCCTCGACCCCTCGACTCTGCGATTCTGCGATTCTTCGATTCTTCAATTTCTCGTTTCCTCGATTCCTCGATTCCTCGATTCTTCGGTTCTTCAATTCTTCGACTCCTCGATTCCTCGGTTTTTCGATTGCTCGATTTTCGCTTTCTCGATTCCTCAATTCTGCTATTCTTCGATTTTTCGATTGCTCGACTCCCCGATTCCTGGATTCTTCGGCTCTTCAATTCTCCGATTCTTCGATTCTTGGACTCTTCGATTCTTCGACTCGTCAATTCCGCAATCTTCGATTCTTTGGTTCTTTGATTCTTCGATTCCTCGACTCTTCGGTTCTTCGATTCCTCAATTCTTTGACTCCTCGATTCCTCGATTGTTCGCTCGAGTCTTCGATTCCCCGATTCTGCGATTCTTCGACTCTTCGATTCCTCGGTTCTTCGATTCCTCGACTCTTCGGTTCTTCGACTCTCGATTCTTCGGTTCTTCGACTCTTTGACTCTTCGTTGTTTCGACCCTCGGTTCTCTTCGATTCTTCAACACTTCGACTCCTCGATTCTTCGATTCGTCTCTTCTTGGCGAAGAAAATGACAAATAGAGCTTGCACAGAGGCACTTGGGCAGAGCAACATCGATCTCCGCAGAGGGTTCGCCAAAACAAAACAAACCCGCACGGCGCCACAGCGAGAGCGCGTCGACACGCACGATCCCCGCAGAGGGTTCATCCGCGCACCGCAAGAACGCAAAAAACCTCGAGTTTTTGCACCTCGACCACGCCGATCCTTGCAGAGGGTCGCGCGGGCACCGCAAGAATCGCAAAAAAAAAAACTTTTGCACCTCGACCACGGCATCGAGGATCAAAGTTCTGCCCCGACGCCCTAACCTAGACAACTTACATATCTGCTAACGCCGAAGCGCTATGCATGCGCTTGGCTCTATGCACTTGGCTCTACGGGCTTGGCTGCGCAAGCTGCTTGTTGGATCCTGTATTGTTAAAGGTCCCGCGCACTGCTCCTAGCCTCAAATCACAAATAACCCAGAACCAAAAGCCGACCGCAAGGCGCACATCCTTTTTTACCGGGTTGCTTGGGAAGGTAGCACTTTCCTAGGGCACTGCGGTGCACCTAGGACAAGGGGCGAGATATTCCCCCCCTGTGAAACAGATCGCAAGACATGCGTGTCCTTGCTTAAAAGTGCCAAATGAAGGCGCGGCATGCGTGCCCACGCCTGCATCAGAGGACCGGGTCCAAAGGCGCAAACAGGGCCAGACCGCGGGTCTGGGCCCCGATAAAAGGCTGGGAGAGCGCTCCCAGTCCAGTTCTTGTCCGGTGGACTCCAAAGCGTTGGAGGGTCGGCCGGAAAGCCTAAGTATGTTAGGGCTTAGAAGGGTTGGGTGGGTGGGTTTCAAACGAAACCAGGACTTCGTGAGTTTGAGGGCTAGGAGCACAAAACAGCAGCGACGTAGGAGATTCACCCCAACCTATAAACACAAGGGAAACAGAAAACCCTTAGCGTTAAAGGTCCCGCGCACTGCTCCTAGCCTCAAATCACCAATAACCCAGAACCAAAAGCCGACCGCAAGGCGCACACCCTTTTTTACCGGGTTGCTTGGGAAGGTAGCACTTTGGGCACTGCGGTGCACCTAGGACAAGGGGCGAGATATTCCCCTCCTTCAGTGCTTCCCGAAACCCAGCGGCCTCCCACCAAGCGGCCTCGCGAGGATGCGCTGCTTGAGGCCGAGCGCTCGTGCCAGCGCGCTCCTCAATAAGCAGCTGCTCGACGAGGAAGCGGAAGTCCGACGTCTCGAGATCGTTGCGAGCGTGGAGGAAATCATGATCTCTGCGGCTCTTAACACCCCGGCCACGCGCTCCCAGCGGGCAGAGCTTGCCCTGCGCGATGAGACGTGGAACGGGAAGTGGGACGCGTGGGACGCGGTCCTAGATCACGGGGGCCCGCCCCAGCCCCGCCCCGACCCGACGTGAAGAAGCCCGTCAGTGAGTGGCGGGCGGAGCTGTCGGACAAGTAGAAGAGGCACAGAGTCTCGGGACTTTTCGGAGATCCCTGCGCACCACCTTTTCCGGCCACCCCTCCAAGCCAAACCTCGCCCCCATCTCCCCGCTCTCGGCGGAGGCTACCCTGTATACCTTTTCGCTCCAGGCTATCTCGTTGACCCTGTAGGAGCCCCTGCTTTCGATCGGCTTAACCCTGATCCTAACCATATCCCCGACCTTGATTTCCGGGCGGGTCACCTTGTGTTTGGCCCTGCGCTCGATGTTGCGCAGAGCAATCTCCACCATTTCGGGGTCAGAGTAGGCAAGGTTCGGCGCCACCTGCGTGGTAGCGTGCTTCCTTCCGTTGATTTGGCTCAAGATGTCAGGCAGCATGAGGTGCCACTGGCCCCGCCGGCCCGCTCCGGCTGCTATGCGACGCAACATGGCCTCCTTGATGGTGCGGACGGCGCGCTCTGCGAAGTAGGCGTGGCCCCTGGTCACCTGCTTCTCGATGTCCCAGAAATCCATCAGCTCCTTGAACTCCCTCTTGAACTCGGAGCCGTCGTCGGAGTACACGTTGGCCGGCACCCCCAGAGCTTGGAACACCTTCTTCATGCCCGCCGCGGTGGTGGTCGCAAGATGGTCCTTCAGCGGCTCCGCGG